CTTTTTCTGCAGGTCTAGAAGCAGACTCTTGTTCCTTATTTATTTTTGTGGACCCCCCCCCCCCTCTCCCCACCTATTCTTTTCCTTTCTCTTTCACCTCTGTCTCCGTGTCTGGTCGGAATTACAAAGCATTCAACAACAATAGCAATAACGTTTTAAGTATCAGGCGTGACATTAAAAGCAGACTCTTTGATGCTCCACCTGAGAGTAAATCTGTAAGGCTTGTCACCAGCATTCAGACATCAAATCTGCTTGCTTCACAGCCAGACAGGACACGGTAAAAAAAACTAAATAAAACTAAATAAATAAATAAAACAACACCGAAAGCCATGGTGCAACAGCGTGAAGCAATTGCTTCACAAATATTGGGAGCCTCAGGTTTGTGAAGTGTTATAGCACAAAGAGATTACTTGTAGTTAAATATATTCATTGTCAATCACAAATTTTACTGTATTTGTAATAGTGTTCGAGGCAGAAAACAATTGTGCCATGTGTCCAACTCCAAAACCACCTTTTCCAGGGCCTTCTATCACCAAATGGGTAAGACAGATTTGTAATTGAGGATATTATTTAACAAAATGTATTGTGTACAGTTGCTTTTGTTATTTGGTTTTTGTATTGAGGAAGAGGGGAAATTTAGCCTAAACTTGCATTAATTTTTTTTGCCTTGGTGTGTTAGTCATTTTGAATAATTGACATGTAAAGAAAATATGAAATACATAGTAATGGCAGATTAATAAAGATATTCATGTTAAATCATGTGACAAAATAAATTTTTTAATTTTTGGTTTGTTGAACATTCACAGATCCAGTGTGACAGCTGTGCAAGGTGGTTTCACAAACAGTGCTTGCAGATGAACACAGAGCTGTATCTGAAGGCAGAGGCTGCAGAATGGGAGTGTGCACTCTGTGAAAAATAAAAAGTCTTATTTCATTTGTAAAATGTATATATGTCATGGTCTGTGTCTGCATCTCCCCTCATGCTTCTCCCCTGATTAGTCATTGCCTTGACCTGGTCCTCCTCCCACATCCCACACACCTGCAGCTCATGTCCCTCTCATCCTCCCTGTGTATTTAAGCCCTGTCTTGTCTCAGTGTCTTGTCTGTCCTTTGTGGTAATTCTGTTCCTCGTCTCTAGTTTGCTTGTTCTTCTTGTATCTCTGTTTTTGTATCTCAAGTATTAGATTTTGAACATTTTGGATTTTGGCTCTCCGCCTTAGAGTTACTTTTGTTTTTGACTCACCTTTAAATAAAGTATTTTACTTATTCTCATCCCTGCCTCGTGTCATCTTGGGTGCTGCATTTTGGGTCCTACAAACCAACCTTTCAACGTGACAATATAAGGTTGACTAATGTCATGTGATTTCTTATTTGCATTGATAGAAACTGAGGAACAGGTGTAACTACTATTTAGAAATTTTGTATGTGTACATATAAAGGTTATGTATTTCAGAACTGTAAATACAGCTAGATCATTTTGATTTTGTATTGCAGTCTTTTTCATTTTAATACCTTTTGTAAAAAAATTACACTAAATTAAGAAGACAATGTGATTATCGCAGTTTGGGTATGTGACACAACCGTTTCTGCATTTGTTTTGGTATTTGTTGATACAGATTACTATTGATTGAATAATTGTAATTGCAGTTTTTGCTGTTATTATTTACTAGTTTTATTTTGTCGATACTTTATATAACGTTCTTCTAATTCTCCATGACAGCTCATAGTTACTCAGTCTTTACTCCTTTGTTTACATAGATCCTTTTGTGTCACCTCCCATTACGTTCCAGTCTCCCTTGTATGTTAATGTTGTGAAGTTAATATGACGTATACAGGGAGTGCAGAATTATTAGCAAATGAGTATTTTGTCCACATCATCCTCTTCATGCATGTTGTCTTACTCCAAGCTTTATAGGCTCGAAAGCCTACTACCAATTAAGCATATTAGGTGATGTGCATCTCTGTAATGAGAAGGGGTGTGGTCTAATGACATCAACCCCCTATATCAGGTGTGCATAATTATTAGGCAACGTCCTTTCCTTTGGCAAAATGAGTCAAAAGAAGGACTTGACTGTCTGAAATGTGGTACACAGGTACAGTGGGTGTTCCAGAGTAAGGATGTGGTGAAAGTTGTACATCAGCTATGAAGGATGATTATTTCTGAATTTTTGAATATTTAACCAGACTGTCACGAGTGTGGACTGAATACAAGTTTTCTTTAATATCTGAGGATTTCTACAGTAAATCTGTCTGAAATGTGGCACACAGGTACAGTAGGTGTTCCAGAGTAGGGATGTGGTGAAAGTTGTACATCAGCTATGATGGATGATTTTTTATGAATTTTTGAAAAATGACATAATTCTATTGACTGTATTACTGAATATAAGTTTTCTTTAATATCTGAGGATTTCTACAGTAAATCTGTCTGAAATGTGGCACACAGGTACAGTAGGTGTTCCAGAGTAAGGATGTGGTGAAAGTTGTACATCAGCTATGATGGATGATTTTTTAATGAATTTTTGAATATTTAACCAGACTGTCACGAGTGTGGACTGAATATAAGTTTGCTTTAATATCTGAGGATTTCTACAGTAAATCTGTCTGAAATGTGGCACACAGGTACAGTAGGTGTTCCAGAGTAAGGATGTGGTGAAAGTTGTACATCAGCTATGAAGGATGATTTTTTTATGAATTTTTGAATATGCAACCAGACTGTCACGAGTTGGGCAGTTCCCTGTTCAAAATGTGGTACCGTAAAGACTGTTGTAAACGCGCAATGAAATTTTCGCAGCGGATAAGATGCGGCTGGCTTGACCGCGGCTCACAATTGACGGCTCACTTGTCCGCGTCATGGCTTCCGGACCAGCAAGCGCTACTGTCCGGCTCCCCGTGGAGACTCCCGCGAAGGGAGGACGCCCCTCCCCGGGCGGATGGGATAATCAGACATCCTCCGGAAATAAACCATCGGCTGTGGGTCTGGCCGATGAGCGGTTTCGATTAGGGGTTTCTGGGCTGCCGCATGATGTGGTCATCACGATTCAGAGTGCGCGGGCGCCCTCTACCATTGCATACGCTGCTAAATGGGCAGCTTTCCAGAACTGGGGCACAGAGCGGAATGTTCAAGCGCTCTCCTGCCAGCTGGCGGATGTCCTATCGTTTCTGCAGATACGGACGGACAGGGGCCTCGTATTCAGCACTATTAAAACATATGCTGCAGCTATGTCATCCTGTCACCAGGGTTTTGGTGATAGATCTGTTTTCAATCATCTCCTCACAAAACGTTTTCTAAAAGGTGTCAGAAGGAACAGACCTGTGTCCCGTCCGCTAATTCCCCAGTGGGATCTAACGGTGGTTCTGCGTGGCTTATCTGAAGCCCCATTTGAGCCCTTGGACCAGGTCTCACTCAAGTTCCTGTCACTTACAACTGCCTTGCTGCTGGCACTGGCATCACGAGAGTGAGCGACCAAACCGCCCTCTCAGTGGCTCCCGCATGCCTCAGGATCCGGAAAGATGGCGGGTCTGCTGTTTTATGCCCCAACCCAGCCTTTGTGCCCAAAAAACATTAATACTTCCTTCAAATCCAGGTCAATTTCATTGGCTGGACTTTTTCCTCCTCCCCATAATTCTGAGGAGAAGGCGGCTTCCCATCTTCTCTGCCCCAGTGCGCGCGCTCGCACGATATGTGTCACGCACTTCAGGGATTCGCCGCTCACAAATCATGTTTGTGCACTACAGGGAGTCTTCCCTTGGGCAAGCGCTGTTGGCCCAGCGCCTTTGACTTTGGCTATGTGACGCCATTTCACTCGCTTGGGGCTGGATCCTCCTTAGACACTCAGGGCTCACTCAGCCAGAGGGATTTCCTCTTCTGTGGTGCCCCACAGTGGTGGGTCAATGGAAGTCATTTGTCAGGCTGCTTCATGGGCTTCACCCTGTTCCTTTACTCGTTCTTATTTACGAGATGTGTCTTCAGGATCCATCACTCGTTCAGTGCTTGGACCTCAGCAGGCTGAGTGAACGCATTATGGCACCTCATCGGCCCTGCTTGAATGAATTTCATCCTCTTGTGGATGATATTTTTTAGTGGTGGCCCCACTCTTCTCTCTGGCTGCCTCAGCCTTTTAAGCCCTGGGCTGAGGCTGAGCGACCCCCACTAAAAGGAGACATGTTGGGTGTGTCCATTGGTTGAGCTAACCAGTGTGGCGTAAACCCATCCAGCTGCGCTTTATTCCGATAGCAGCTCGCTTAAGGGCTAAGACTAGACGAAATAGAACGTTGGTTACGTATTGTAACCCCAGATTCTATAAGTCTAGTCGCAGCCCTTAAGCCACTTGGCCACACTGGTTCTGTTAGGACTAAGAGCCATCGGAGGCGAACAGTGGAGTCGCTCCACTTATATAACCCACAAGGGGTGCCCACGTGGTGGGCGTACATTTAAGCTCTTCATGATTGGCTGATGCTGAGATCACCCTTCCAATAGCAGCTCGCTTAAGGGCTGCGACTAGACTCATAGAATCTGGGGTTACAATACGTAACCAACGGTCTTAAGGCTGTGGTGGGCACTCAATGCACTGTGAGTTATTATCGTGTGATTGTTCAGTCAAACAATGTTGATTATATATTTCTTCATCAAGTTGATGCAGTGATAGCTTGATCTTGTTGTATTGTTGTTGTGTCCCATATTTTTTTTTTTTTGCTTTTTTTTCTTCTCTCTTTCTGCAGGTCTAGAAGCAGATTCTTGTTCAGTTTAGGTTATTTTTGTGGAACCCCCCCCCCCCCCCCCCCCCCCAAACCTTCTGACTACTGAATCAGAAACAGAATCAGAAAGATTCAACTGTCACGGCATAAGAACACGATGGCATTCGTAGACACTCAAATGGTGTATTTCACACACAGATAAAGGAAACAAAAAAAAAAGCATTAAACTAATAATCACTTAAAATTGTACACACACATGAATCTGCATCTTCATTCATTCATGTGGCAAAATATTTCCCTTGTAGCTCTGTAGGGAGGACCATGGAGGAGTTTAAAACCTCCGTGACTGTGGCGGCCCACAAAAAGGTCACGTTTGAGCTCACCTACGAGGAACTACTGAAACGCACACTTGGTAAATACGAGCTGCAAATCCACGCTCGACCCATGCAGCCTGTTGCAGATTTCAAAGTATGTTGATCATCCAGAAAAACAAAAACAACAGCAGCTTTCACGAATGCTAATAAACTCTTTTATTATCTTCACGACCAGGTTGACGTGTACATTTATGAGAAAGCTGGCATCAGTTACATTGATGTGAAAGGAGGACTGAGCACTAAAGCTCTGGCTAATGCCATCACCAAAACTCATGCAGACAAACAGGTACAACCATTGATGCTTTATTTCTGTTGCATGCATGTTCCCTACTAAGGTTTTATGTCTTGAAGATAATGTCTTGATGAAATAACCATTATCACACTAACCAGGGTTTAAATCTGTCCTCAAAAGACATATGTGCATTCCTCCATTTTTCTTTCAGTTTTATTTGCTAAATTACATTTTGTAATGGCAGATACTGTGGTAACATGAAGCTGAGGGTACATTTCAAATTAGTTTTTGATCTACACACACACACATGCACAAAAATGCCCTAAAGATCCAAGGGGTCAGAGGTCTTTGTGGCTGGCAGGCCTCCCATGGCAAATTAGTTCTAGGTGAAGGATGGGAGATAGAATGTCCCCAGACTGGAGGGTTTAACTGATTCCTACTTTGGAGGTAGAGCTGGGGTGGAGACCCATGAATAAACAACTGTTGAGACAACACAACAGTGATCCATCCATCCATTTCCAGCCACTTATCAGGGGTCAGATTGTGGGGCAGTAGCCTAAGCAGGGAGGCCCAGACTTTCCTCTCCCCAGCCACTTGAGCCAGCTCCTCTGGGGGAATCCCAAGGCATTTCCTGAACAGTCATGAGAAATAGTCTCTCCAGAGTGTCCTGGGTCTTCCTTTAGGTCTTTTCCCGGTTGGACGTGCCTGGAAAACCCCACCAGGAAGGTGTCCAGGAGGCATCCTAACTAGATGCCCAAGGCCGAGCCACCTCTCACAACAATGAGAGAACAGACATTAGTGTGAAAAGAAGGTAACAGATATGCAAAATCTCTAATCAAAAACAAAGACTGTAGCCAGCAGTAACTTGAGTGTAACGTCGCTGAAATGAGGATCAGTAAATCAGAGGCCATGGTTTTCGAGAAAGAAAACCTGGATTGCCTATTCCAGCTCAGGTAAGAAGTCCTGCTTTAAGTGGAGGAGCTTATGTAACTTAGGACCTTTTTCATGAGTGAAAGGAGGATGGAATCAAAAACCAACATGGACATTGGAGCCGAATCTGCAGTGATGTTGACTATGAACTGTTTGATGACAAGGGAGCTGAGGTGCATGGTGATGCTCATGTTTTACTCATTAAACTTAGTTCTGATCATCACTGTTTTTTAAGACTGTATGAAATCAGATTTGTGGTCTGCAGGCGTGGGTCCATTTCTATCCAACAGTGGACCACCAGAAAACCTGTGACAGCTGTGGGGAGCAGGGTATGAATGGAGATCTGGTTATTGTTTACGACGTCAAACGAGACGATGGACTAGGAGACATCAAGGTAACACACTCAGGTTCATTTCCTGACAACATCATGGTCATGGTCAGCTTTATTTATCATTTTTTCCCACATATTCTAAACATACAACATGACTAAATTACTGTCCTCTCTGACTCGCAATAAACGCTAATAGAATAAAGAGTAAACAAACAAACAAACAAACAAACACACACACACACACACACACACACACACACACACACACACATCAGGTCTTAATTACCACTAAAGTGTCTCTGTGTTCATCCTTCTAAGCAATAATGCATTCACCTCTTTGTACTGCCCTTCTTTTAGACATCAGAGGGATACTTCGTCCATCATTTTGCTCCATCGAACCTTACTCGAATACCAAAGAATATTGTATTTCTCATTGATCAAAGTGGCTCAATGCACGGCAAAAAAATTGAACAGGTAAAACATTTTAAAATGCATTTAGTGTTCCCTTCTGTCATAAATAAAATTCACATCTGAAACATATATGATGTCAGTATTTCCCCCCAAGTTGTCATGTTTCTTTTTTGGTTACACAGACTCGAACTGCTCTGCTCCATATCTTGAATGATCTGGCTGAAGATGACTTCTTTGGTCTCATCACATTTGATAGCTCAATTTCTCAATGGAAACGAGAACTTGTTCAGGCCACTAGTGAAAATTTGGAGGGAGCCAAAGTCTTTGCAAGAAATATTCCAGCCAGTGGAGGTGAGAATACTAGAATGTAAATATCTGACAGCAGAATGGCATTAACCCTCTCAGGCTCAAAATAAGTTTTGATAAAAGGACGAACAACTAAGTCCTTCAGGGGTACTTCTGAGTTAAAAAATGCTCATGAAATACGTTTGTGGAGTAACCAGGTAGGTAGGTTGCAAATGTTGCTAATCTGCAACGCCTGCCTCTAGAGCAGGGGTGGGCAATTATTTTTTCCATGGGGCCACATGAGAAATAGAAAATATTGTGGAGGGCCAGGCCAAAAGGCTGAAGTCAATTATGCATAATATTAATGGTATTTCTTTATAAAAAGCAGTAAATACCATTGTTTTTTCAAGCTGGTAAGAGTAGACTATATGTTATAAATGAGCAAAAAGGAAAAAGTGAGGTTGGCTTACAAAAATGTGATTTATTCAAATTTCCCAAGGCAATGGTAAACAAAGTGCGCATTTGGTTTTTGTTAAACATTTGTGACTTATATTAGTTAACAGTTTTAGTCACATTCACTCCAAAACACATTTTGAGTTTCAAATATTGATGGAAAGAGGTTCTTAGCATTCTACAGACACACAGGTCTGTAAAATAAAATCACTGAACTGTGATCTTGAGAAAGAGGTTTAAAAAAAAGTGTCCCAGTTTACTGCTAGTTGCCTACATTTGTGGTCCAAACACCTTATTTTGTGTTTTTAAGCAATTTTTTTCTTATTCAATGAGAGAAATCTAGTGTCTGCTGGGCTTTAACGAGTGCATCAAAGTCAGGTTGAATGTCTGAGGTGGAGATGCGAAGCACAGCTGACAAATGATCATCAGTGAGAGAGGATCTTTACCTGGATTTTGTAAACTTCATCATTGAAAATGTTTGTTCACAAATGTAGGTAGAGCCGAAGAAAACCAACATCTTCTGAGCATGTCTCCTCAGGTTTGGAAAGTTCTCCTCCTTAAGAGAAGAGTAGAAATCCAGCAGAGATCCTGAATCTCTGCTGTCAAGTCCCAAACCCTCTTCAGCACTTTCCTCAGGCTGAGCCATCTGACAGCTGTGTGGAGTCCTCCAAAAGAGCGACAAATTGTCTGTGATTCATTGCCCGTGCCCTGATGAAGTTTATTATTTTAGTAACAACATCAGTAACATGGTTGATTTTTAGCACTGACTTGCACAACACATGTTGGTGTATAATTCAATGCAAAAACACCCATTTTTGATCTGCATCGATTTCTGTCACTTTATCTTGCATGCGTTTCAAAAGTCCGACATTTTTCCCTGTAAGATTTGGACAACCGTCTGTTGTGACACCTGACAGTCTCTCCCATTTCAATCCCAGAGTGTCCGTGCACGCATTTACCTCTGTAGAAACATCACTCCCTGTCGTTGTCCCTTTCATCGACCGCATTGCTGCCAGCTCCTCTGTGAGCTCCGTTATCCCCCGGACATCACAGCTCTCGTCTAAGGCCAATGAGAAAAAGTCAAAACTTGCCACTTCACGTTGCAGCTGAAGCTCCAGGTTCCCCACGGTTCACCGGGACAGCGGGATTTGCTCAAATGCGCCTTTTTTTCAGGGCATATTAGTGCGGCAGAGTGCACCATGCACTCTTTGACAAACTCTCCCTCTGAAAACGGCTTGCCGTTTTTAGCTATTTTGTGGGATATCACAAAGCTGGTCCTGGTTGCTGCATTACTGGATGTGTGAAGCTTAGTAAAACAGCCTTGCTGCTTTTGCAACTTTGCTAGCAAAGCTTCGGATGTCCGTGCCCTCTCAGCATCAGATGAGTTCTTGTATTTTTCCGAGTGTTTCTTGTCGTAATGCCGACTCAAATTGTAGTCCTTAAACATGGCAATCTCCTCCCCGCAAACCAAACACACGGCTTTGCCTCCGACTTCAGTAAAAAAAAAAAAAAAAAACTTACAGTCCAATTTTTGTTGAAAATCCTGTATTTGGCATCTTTCTTTCTTTTTTTTCTTTTCTTTTTTTTTTTTGCATGAGCGGACATTTCTGGGGCTACAGTCACCATGTCAACCGCGGGCACTTGTTGCTATACGTATTGCGTCATTGTGCACATAAAAAACAACTTCAAAATAAAAGCAATGCAGCCTTAGCCCATGCATGAGGTAAAATGAGAAAATACATTTATTTTGTCATTTCCAATTAACCTTACGCGAGCCGGTCAAAGTCAACCAAAGGGCCGTATGTGAACCGCGGGCCGTAAAATGCCCAGGTCTGCTCTAGAGGGTTAAAACAGTCTGACATCTTTTTCAGGAACAAACATTAATGACGCTGTGTTGGAAGGAGCACACATGTTGAATGCACATCCCAGAGAGGGTTCAGCATCCATCCTGATACTTCTCACAGATGGAGACCCCACCTCAGGTTAGTGAAAACATGCATGCACACACTGGCACAAGAATAAATGTAAATCCCAAGAAAAAAAAAGAGCAAATATGAAAGCAGGTTACACTAAAGACATGGATTGGCCTGCAAAGTCAATCACAGCACTATAGTACCCACATGAATGGATGGATGGATTGATGGATGGATGGATGGATGGATGGATGCATGGATGCCATTAGATACCAGTCTTCAGACATGTATTTTAAACCCATTTCTTTATAGTATTATTTAATTTCACTTCAGTTCTTTTTAATTTATAGCACAGTAAAGTGTATAACAAAGAAGTGCATTAGGTACTACTAACACACTCCCTGGATCTGGTTGTCCCTCCAAATTAACTGGTAAAAGAAGCTACCAAGAGACTGATGGCCCCACTAAAGGAATTACAGAACTTTATGTCAAAGGGTGGTCATTCTGTGCATGTGACAAATATTTCACAAGTGTTCTACAGATGTGGCTTGTCTGAGAAGGTCGCGAGGAAAAAGCCATTTCTGAAGAAAGGCCTCAGCTGGTTTGACTTGTGTCAGAACGCGTTTTGAAGGTTCTGATGCCTAATGGAAAATGGTCTTATGATCAGATGAGACCAAAATGTAACTATTTGGCCTCAACACCAAAAGCTGACCTAATGTAAACCCATCAAGCACCATCCACAAATCGCCACCCCTACAGTAAAGCACGGAGGTGGCAGAATGATGTGAGGGTGTTTCTCTGCCTCAGGGACTGGGGCTGTCATTAGGAAAATGGGAAGGGGCAAAATACCGTCAAATTCTTGACGAAAACCTGCTAACATCTGCCAGAAAGTTGAAGATGGGCAGATGATTCTCCTTTCAACGTGACAACGATCTGAAGCAGACAACAAATCTGACCACACAGAGGTTGAAGGAGAAAAAAGTGAACATCCTCATGTGACCCAGTCAGAGCCCAGACCTAAAACCTGATTTATACTTCTCCATCTGCGTCGGTGCGGAGACACGCAACACAATCATGCATCAGCGCAAGTGCCCTCCAACGTGCTCACAGAGGGTGACGGATAAATGCCCAAAATTATAAACATTTATTGAAAGTGGCAGAGACCGCATGCTTGTGATTGGTTAGGACGCCACTTCCTGTAAACAGCACTGCTGTTGACCCATTAAAAAGTAAAAGGATATTTAGCAGCTGACCCAGAACATACTGAAGAACACATCGTGGGAAAAGTCAGAAAAAATGAACATTTATTCACCCGTGAGTGAACGAGGACAAGAAACGTGGACGGAAACTACGGAAAAAGTGGGTTTTGAGGTGACGACCGCATGAAGAGGTGCCGGAGAATGAAGGACAAATTTGTCCATGTTATAAAGTCTCTGAAATATATAAACACATTAGTAAATACACTATCGTGGACTGGATACATGAGTGTTATGGTGGCAGGATACCACAGAACAGTGCTACACCCTCTGTTGTCCTAGCGGGGATTTGCTTTGCAACACTCCGTGTGCACCACTCAATCGTGGAGCTCATGGAAACCAGGCTTAAATCCTCTCAAAATTCTGTGGAGAGATTTAATGATTACAGTCCACCAACACCTATCGTCTAGTTTGACCCAAGTTGAATGCAAACAGAGGCAAATGGTGGCGCAGTGGTTAGCACTGTTGCCTCGCAGCACGAAGGTTGCAGGTTCGAAACTTGGCTGTGGCCTTTCTGCGTGGAGTTGCATGTTCTCCCCATGCATGCGTGGGTTTCCTCCGGGTACTCCGGTTTCCCCCACAGATCACAACATGCCCTATAGGTTATAAATTGTAAGTCGCTTTGGATAAAAGCGTCTGCCAAATAAATAAACATAAACATAAATGTTGCTCAGTCTAGATGTTCAAAGTTGATAGAGAAGCAAAAGGTGGTCCAACTAAATGTTGACATTAGGGGTGACCCATCATTAATCTCAATAATTCTTGTTTTTTATCTTTGAAAGATTTGTTTCAATTTGTGATATTTTTCAGTTGGATGTTATCGGTTGCACTAGATAAGCAAAGCTGGTAAAAGATTTTTGTTTATGTTGAACTCAGACACTGCCCGCCATTTTCTGAACAGAAAGCCCCTGACTGCCAGTGTTTTTGAGCATTTTTGCTGACTTTTGAAGAGTCACGGAATATTGTGTTGTATGGCCAGATAAACACCAAAACTACCAAAAGAAAGAGTGGACTCAATTCTTACATCAGGAAAAATCCGCTTGTTTCCAGCATTTCCGTTCTTTCACAATCTGTTGTCGACTTGTGAGCTGCAGAAGCGTTTTGCGGTTAGCGCCTTGCTTTAGGCACAGTGGCCTCCCAAAACGATCCCCTAATATATGTATTGTCCATTTTATGATCATGTGATGTGTGACACACATGGATGGAAATGAGCTTGAGAACGGGGAGGTGTGGGAGCTTGTTCCCACACCCGCCCCATCAAAAACGCAGTTTTTATTTCACTTTTATATTCCATAAAGGGCCCAATGAAGTATGCTGCCTGGGATTACTTCTTCCCAATCTGGATCTGGCATTCCATCTTTGTCTTCTTGCTTGACTAAACTGTGATGGGACATATATCTACATCTTGTTCTTTTGCAGGAGAAACAAATCCTGAAATTATACAATCAAATGCAAGAAGGGCCATTGCAGAGAAATTCCCACTCTACTGTCTTGGTTTTGGGTTTGATGTGAAGTTTGAGTTCCTAGAGAAAATGTCACTGGAGAACAACGGTGTTGCACGACGTATATATGAAGACTCAGATGCTGATTTACAGCTGCAGGTAGGTTTCCTCGCATTAGCAATGTACTCTACCACATTTACACACAGGAGAAAGACTCAGCTTGACCTTTATTGTGTGTGGAGATGGAAAAACTCATACTTTCTGAGTCCTGTGTCTCACCAGGGTTTCTATGAAGAAGTGGCCACTCCTCTGTTAACAGATGTGACCATGATCTATTTGGGAGGAACCAACCTGACCAAGACTAACTTCAGTCAGTATTATAATGGCTCTGAGATTGTGGTGGCCGGTCAGATCACGGACAATAACATCGAAACCTTCATTCCTGAAGTTGTGGCCATCTCAGTAAGAATCAATCCTCACAAATTCAACAACACGTCTAAAGTTAAGAAAATAGTGAATATACTTTTAAACTGATATTATTCTGATTGTTGCATCATGACAGAGTAACAGAAAAGTGACCTTTTCCAACACAAATACCTCTGTGGAGCCCTCTACTGAAACAGTGGCTGAAGGCCTTCTTCAGAGGGTTTGGGCCTATCTGAAAGTGAAACAGCTTCTGGAAAAAGAGTAAGTGTGACATGTACAAGTTTCTCTGCTTTTGATTGTAATTATTTATCACCAAATCCACATCAGAACATAAACAGTTTTCAGTAAATTACAGGTAACTTTTCAAGAATTAGTCTTCTTTATATTTTGTACGCAGTAAAGAAAATACATTTTCTGCCAAACAAGATTTACTGTCAAAAACTAAAGAGATGCTTTGCAACTTTTTCATATTTGAAAATAATTTTCATGAGCCAGTATGTGCTAAAAATGACCCATCATGAAAGGCCACCCAGCCCCAATCACCCCCTGTGGCCAGAATATTCCATTTTGCAACTTCAGAGTTGCAGGTTGGCTCTGTTGAGCTGACATACCTGGCGCTGCAGTCTGGTTCCTGCATGTTTCAGATCATGAACACAGTTGATTTGTTTAATTTAGTGATGAATGACTCTAGACACTAGGGAAGGCTGATTAGACATTTAAGCTGTTAGATCGACGTGCTAAAAAGACGAACGCACAGTAAGGAGATATGTTATGCATTTGGTTTTACAAATGGTCACTGGGGGGTGCTCAAAGTAAGCCAAAACTGCCTTGTCTCCCACTGTGACCAGACTAGGAACAAAACTCAGTCATTTTGAATGGACCACACGAATTTTCTTGAGCTGTTTGAAACAATGAAGACTCCAATACAAACCTCTGTCTAAAACACCAAGTCTTTTTCATTACCTCTTCATTTATTATTATTTTCTTAAATATCTGCATAGAAGTAATCATACAAAAAGTGTCTATTGTCTTTATCATTTTCTACTACTAATCCCAACCATGATGTTAATAACATTTTGTGATCTAGGGTGCTTTTGTCTGGACCAGAGAAAGAAAAAGTGAAGAAAGAGACTCTAGAGCTGTCTCTGAAGTACAGTTTTGTGACTCCACTCACATCCATGGTGGTCACCAAACCTCAGGAGGATAAAACAGAAGTCCTTCACAAACCCCAAGAGGGGAAAATACAACATGGTCTTGAGCTGATGCATGGAGGTGAGCATCATTATACTCAGCATCACCTCCTTATTGGGATATTTACCAATAGGACCAGTCCATTAGGAACAGTCCTTAAATATATGTATCAAACAATGGTGCATTCATGTAAGAACAGGTAGTTAGGGTTGACTTTTATTTGAACATGTGCATGTGAGTATAATAAGTAGTAGCATAACAAAAAAACATAAGAGGGAAAGAAAAAGCTATATTAATAATAATAATAATAATAATAACAACAACAACAACATGAAGCTCGAAAGAAGCTGTACTCTGTTACAAAAGAAGCTATAAGATATGCACAGGAACTAAACATCCCAGAGTTAGCAAGAATAGAGAAAGAAACAGTAACAAGCTTTGCCAAGAGGACCAGAAGGGAGGCAAAGAAATGGGCACAAAAAAGGATGAGAGAAACATGGGAGGAAAAACCAATGCATGGACAATACCCCTTGAGAGTAAAAAAAAGCAGATGTAGAACAAGATCATACTCATCAGTGGCTACGCAGTGCAGGACTGAAGGCAGAAACTGAAGGATTGTTGATAGCAGCACAAGACCAGAGCCTGTTAACGAGATCATACCACCACAAGATCATTAAAGATGGAACAGACCCCATGTTTAGAATGTGCAGCCAATATGAAGAAACCATTGACCACATTCTCTCAGGCTTCCCCACTCTAGCCAGAACTGAGTACATCCACAGACATGACAGGGCAGCAAGCTATATCCACTGGAAGATCTGCAAACATTTCCATCTACCAGCTGCAGATAAGTGGTATGAACACCAACCACCAACAGTGACTGAAAACAACAACATCACAGTGTTGTGGGATATGCCAATCAACACAGACAGAGAAATCATGGCCAACAGACCAGACATAGTCATCAAAAACAAAGAAGAGAAGACCTGCCTCATGATTGACATGACCATCCCATCTAAAAAAAATGTCACCACCAAGGAGCTTGAAAAGCTATCAAAGTACAAGGACCTGGAAATAGAAGTCACAAGAATGTGGGGGATGAAGACAACAACAATACCCGTTGTAGTGGGTGCACTTGGCCTCATCAAGAAGGGACTGGAAAAGAGAACAAAACAGATTCCTGGAAACCCACCTGTCCAAGAAATCCAGAAGATTGTTCTTCTCGGAAGTGCCCACAACATCAGAAGGACGCTTTCCATAAACTAACCCTGAGACCGCCTTAGAAGCATGGATTGATTCTGGCACTTCAGTGAATGCATACAAATATACCAAAAGAAAAAAGAAAGAAAAAAAAAACAATAGTTGTCATTACCATTAAAAGTTACTGACATGCATGTTCAAAGGGAGCAAGAAGCCTAAACTTATTAAGTCCTATTTCTTTTCTACACTAATAACTAATATTAATGACCTGTTTATTTTTAACACACAAAAAGGAAAAATTTAATTGCAAAATGGTAGCTTATTTATGCTTGTGTGTGTGTGTGTGTGTGTGTGTGTGTGTGTGTGTGTGTGTGTGTGTGTGTGTGTGTGTGTGTGCGTGCGTGTGTGCATGTGTTAAGAAGCTCTTAAAATATACAATTTTTAAGGCATTTTACTAAAACATTGATTGATCAGCAAACAGCACCTAATAGCTTGGAAACAAATAATCAAACATTCATGCCTGTGCTTTCATTTATAGGTGGTGCATTTCCAGTTTCTGTTAACAATGCTGGTCCAATTGCTGGTCGTCCTGGAATCTGTGAGCTGTTATCCATCTATAAAGCATCCATATTTCTTTAATAATTCATAGATGTCTAAAGAAATCCCAAAAATATGGAACTCAGTTTTTGTTGTTCTTTGTTTTTTTTTAAGTTCATGATGCTCGTAACAGTCATCACCCAGGTCAACATGGTTTCCTAGGTTTTTTTCCTCCTCTGCATTCTCAAGACCAGCGACCTCTGGCTCCATATCCTGACTACGGTTTTTCTCTTAAATCTCTTTCTATTTATGCTGTCTCTAATTAGAAAAGTCAAATACAGTTGCTCACTTGAAGTATCTTTCTGGAGTATTTATCTTATCTGATGGCACCATCTAGTGGCTGACAAGCATATCACACAAATAGTCAGTTGATCCATATTTTTAAGATGGCAACTTCACGTTTCTTGTTTATTAATGTGCTTCTGTAGCCGACAAACAGAGCTAAAACACGTTGTTTTACAAGTATTGTTCTCTTGTCATGTTGTGTTCTCATATATTTATATTTTAAAGACTTACTTGTCCGTGAAAAGTTCATCAACTCTGCATCAGCCGAGGTATTCCTTAAATTCGAAGCACATAAGTAGTAGTCTAACGCTATTGGTTAGTTCTGATCGGTGCTCAGGTTCCTATAGCATGGAGCTCTGCGGGGCAGGGGGCGTGTTTAAAAATAAATAGATAAAAAAAGACGTATTGCTTACATTATACAATACATCTTTTACGGATTTCTGAAAAATCGTACATAATTTCTGAAAGGGGAAAACTCCAGAAAGATACTTTAAGAGCAACACCATAAAAAACTGCATTTTATCAACTAAGGTATAAATTAATAAACAACAAACTGACAAACTATGAGAGATAGAGACAAAAAGACAGTTTATAAAAATGCAAAACTAATGTTTTGTGAATTTTCTTTATTTAGATATTTTACTATTTTAAGAATATTTTAATTACCAACAAGCCAGTGACGGTCATTTTCTTAAATACAAACTTTATTTTTATACACTACTTAGACAATAATAAGAGAGCTGAAGTTTCTGACATTTGGTTGCCTCTCGGTGGCAAACTAACTTTGGTTTATAGGAAAAAAAATCTTTTTGTTCAGGATTACAGAATTATTACCAACAGTGTTATTTACTGAACTGATTTGTATCACAAAAATATGCCAACAGATATGATCCAGATTTAAGTTAGAATAAACTTATTATGATGGTTGTTTGCAAAATGAAAATGCTTTGATAGGGTTTAAATCCTGCTTTATGTTATTTTCTTAAAGCTAAGCAGCTCTGAGACTGTGACTCTATTCAAATCAAAATACTAAAATGCCTTTTTGAATATTTTCTTCACAGATCAATTTGATGACTATATGGACCTTCTTTTAGCTCGAGCACCAAGTAAAGTAGCAAAGATACCATTCCTGATTTGCTTTCTGTCACATGGAAATGTAAAATATTCTGTGATCTGTCAATGGGACCTCATATGTTGTTTCTGATGCCACCTTCATTAATGGGCTTGGATGTAGGATCTTTGGTACCCTTAGAAAAAATCATCAGAATGTTTTTTGCATGAGTTTTCTCACTCAGAGCTTCTCTCTTTCTAGCTCCTACATCACGTGTGAAGCATAGATTCTTGTTAAAAGAGAATAATAATTCTCCGCCCTTGTGCTTCGACATCACTGGATCTGTCATTCTTAAACTTCTTCACCATCCCAGCAGAAGTCAGCAATGTTTCTTTAACACTATTAAAAAGATGTGTTTGTTAAACTCTTCATCAAATTGATTATTTTATCTCCTTTTTTGATCAGAGCTGTATGTAAATGGAGAACTGAAGTCAGAAACAAATGCAGGATTCACAAAGATTGTTATCCACACCGGAGATGACCAACATGTTGAGATTCAACCAGAGGCTGTAACTGTTCGAGGGGGACAGTCTACAACACGCCACACTGGACAGGAAGCCATCACTGCTGGAAGGTAACTTTGAGTTGGCTAGAACTATTCAAAAGGACAGTGTCCATCTTGATGCACAATAGAAGCAAATTAAAGCTGTGATGGCAAATCTACAAAAAAAGCTAGCTTTTAAACACAAACATGTTCACAGAACTCTCACCCTGTCTGTCGGCTTTCATCTACATCCGCCGGATACCATAACCCGCATAGCCGCAGTAAACGAGAGAGCACTAAACACCAAAAAAAGTGAATTCAATTGGTGTTTTCCTTTTTGGGACTCTGGAATATTTGTCCTAAAGTTAAAGTGGGTTGAGTTAAAGTACTGAGCAGAGAACCTCTCACCCCAGTGGTGATCTGCTGCAAAATGTGTGAGTGCATAAGGAATGGAGGACCCAGCTAAAGGTGGAAGTGCGGCAGTGTGAGACCTGATGGTCCAGTCGTAGCTTTTCCACCGAGCCATGTCATCATAGACAAAAGCAAGAGAACCACTTTATTCATTTTTCAAGTTTTTTTTATCTCCACAATATATTTATAGCTGCACAATTTTAAAACATTATTTAGAGGCACGGAATAAATGTTTTAGCTAGCTTGCTTTGCAGATTTGCCATTGTAGCTTTACGAGCTACTGCACCTGCTTTACAGTTCCCATATGTCACAATTTAAATATACCACCACCGCCCCTCCCCAACTGGAAAATTAGCTAGTAATTCATTAATGTTCATAAGTCATTTTAATAGCAGGTTGTCTGAATATTATAGTGTGACAATATTCAAGAGGGACAAAGAAGTCGATGTTACTGCTGGAGACGTGCGTTTGGTCATCTTGGTTCATGAGAAGAACGGCAACAAATTCCTTTGGCCTGTTTTGAGACAGAAGCCATCTGCCAGCAACGCAGAGGGGATTTTAGGTGAGTGAAAAGTTAGTTTTACATCTGTTACTTTAAAAATAAAAAATAAAATCAGCATTTTCTCATTAACTTCATGAGACGCAAATTTGTATTTGTTGTGATTTAAATAAAATCAATTCTAGCTATGACAGATTAATCAACTCTCATCAGTTTGAACAAAATGCCACTTAGATCAAAATAAAATTAAATCAAAATGTTGACAAATTTCATAAAAAAACAAAAGAAAATGAAAACATTTTAAACTTTAAGTCAATATCAAGTGTCTCTAAATAAGAAAAAAAGGTCTAAATTGAAGAGAATATAATATTTTAGTGCAAGAAGAAAATAACCTCATGTGTGGACACAGGGTCTCAGGAGGATAAGTTGAAAAGGACACCAGATCTTTCTTTATCACACCTAAACAATGTTTTTATGGCAGAAAAAGTTTAAAAACAACAATCCAGATTGGTGTTTTTCCTAAAAATATTTTATAATGATGCCAAGAACCCATGGAATAGAGACATTTTACCACTTTACTAGAACATTTCTGTCAACTTACTGAGTACAAGTTTCCTCATTAACAAACTTGCTCCATTTTAACCTCCAGGAATATTCTTCTTTAGCTTATTGGGCATTTGGGGTTGCAGTTTGATATTTTATGATACCAGGGATACCAGTTACCTGCACTCGTTTGCATGCAAATCTCTCATTTCTATGGGTTTGAATCGTAACACGTAACCACTAACAGTAAACAAAATATATCACCATAATTAGCGATGCTCGACATCGGCTTTTTAACCAATATCTAAAATACTGAACCAGCAACAGCCTTCCCTGTCTAAAATATCTCAAAATCTTTACTTTAAATCTGTCATATTTTGACAATTTGAGTGAGAAGTAGCTGAGGAGTGCATATGCGTTTGTAAAGGTTGTGTCACAACAGGAGTAAAAACCAATAATGATTTTTTTACCTCATTATTTTATCATAACACCAATATCAGCCAATAATAATGGTAGACCTATAAAATCAGACATCCTCAATCAAAATATTGCATTTTTTATGATGATGTATCAAAATATAACATTAAATCAAAAACACTCAGAATTATTCTTAGCTGTGTTGGTTAAAAGTTTTACTATTTTTTCAATATTTATAAACTTGAAAATAGTAGCAACTTCTCCTGTTTTGCAGTCCTAAAGCCTACAAATTACCGGGAGGTGCATCAAGGTTCACTGATAATCAAAGGCAACCAGATAATTGCTACCAGGTAAAGACATCTGAATGTGAATGGTTATTTTTTTAGTTTTTGACTAGTGAAGCCTCATGTTTACTTAAATTGTCTTTCTTTGAAAGGTCTGCAGCTGATGACTACAGTGTTTCCCCTCCTGTGGCGTTGACCTGCTGGTTAATCAGCTTTGAGAATGCTCTGCAAAAACCTCTGCAAGAGTTACTTTCTGAACAAATTTAACAATAGGGGATGTTAAATGTTTTGGGATTCTGTGTAATTCAAAGTGTAACAAAAAGAATAAAAAAAATTGTGACTTCAACAAATAATAGTATTTTTCTATTTCTAATGACAATTTGATGACATATTAATTCAGTCATGCACTAAGAGTCAACTCCCAAGCTTTTTGATGAAAAATAATAAAAATGGAATTATGCTTGTTTAAGTAATTGCATCAATGCATTTAAAACACTATCAAGAAGAAAAGCAGACCTACTGGTAATCTAATATTAATATCTAATATTATCTTTTGAGAAGTGACACTTTCAGACTAATTGTATTAACAGTTGAAGCTTTGACGCATGTATTTTAAACTCAGAATACTATGGGTTTATGTTGACATGACGTTGTTTGTGCCAAAACTTTCTAAGATATAACAATTATAATAAATAATAAGAAATAATACATTTAATCCATAATTGCAGCACACTTACCACTAAATAAAGAGCAAAGGTCACATTTATTATTATTATTATTATTATTATTATTATTATTGTATATTTTTTGCTTTATCAAAAGTATTCTGCATGTTTACATCCAGCAGATTTAAATCATCTTTTAACTTGTGATTTCTTTAAATTGACAATTTGGCCATTTTTGATTGATAAACACAATCCATTGCTGGGTGGAAATTTGGCGAATACGGGGAAGGCTCAAGTGCCTTTTCTGGAAATAGGTATTTTCAAATGAAAGGCTGTCATTTTAAAGCGATTGATATTTATTTATTCTCTGAATGTTTTGACTAAGATTTCATGTGGACAGATAAGAATTAAAATGTTGTCAAATAATTGCTTATTTGAAAGAGGTTAATAAAGATTTTTTTAAAGTAGCACAAATAGCGACCGGAATGCTTGCATATGCTACGGTCGATGATGCTACGCTACCTGTCCCAATTCGACAATTATTTGCACACTTGTGTACTATTTGCACTCGAAGCCATACTGCTCATCTCCTCTAAGTGCACTTCACAGAAGGTCATGAGGTACAGAGGAGCTGGCCCAAGTGGCTGGGGAGAGGGAAATTTGGGCCTCACTGCTTAGGCTGCTGCCTCTGCGACTCAAGTCCGGATAAGAGAAAGAGAATGGATGTATGGATTGCATCTGGGTATTGCACATGTACCGAATATAGCACTGATGTTAGCATGAAAAGGGATAATGCCAGTACCAGTTAAACCGAGGAGTTATGCACTCTTACTACAGTGGGAATGAATGACCTACAGTATGCTCCCTCGGAGTTTCACGGATTTTGGGCAAACACAAGAAGCATTTCTCTGATGCAGAAATGATAAAAGAATGTATGACTGAAGTGATGGAAAGCATGTTTGATGGCAAAAAAAGAGGAAATAACAGCTACAATTAAGCAAATCCCTTTATCAGCCTCTACAGCAGCAAGACCAACAGAAACACTGGCTGGTGGTCTGACTAAATAGCTCTGAGATGGAATAATAAATGCAGACTGCAATAACTAGCTGTGGATGGATTTATTTCAGAGGTATGAATTTGAATTAATCAAATGGAAATTGCATTGTATGCTTGTTGCTGTTTTGATTGAAGAAGACAAGTTGTGTTCGAGCTAATTTTATTAAGGCCCCATCTGCTGACTGAGAAATGTAATACTCTAGGGTATTCTGGCATCCTGTTAAAAAGTTCTAGTTGAAACTCTACTGGAAACCCACAAGTTAAATGGATGCAAGAGTTATGGAACTTCTAACATTTGGTCCTATGTTAAAATCTAACTGGACCTAATAAGACTTTCTATTAAACTATCTTTTGATCTTAGTAAATATTAGCTCCTAATACAGTAAGCTAAAAAAAAAAACAAAAAAAAACATTTTCAGATTTTTACAACCTATAAATATTTTTGAAATTGTGAGTAACTGGTTTGGAATACTGCATTTTAAGTTTATAGTTTACTGTTTTGTAGGACTAGGTGTTAATATCCATTCTTGAATATATGAGACCCGCAGCCTGGATTCTGTTGGAAAGTCAATTGAGTAATGGCGGCTCTTTGGGTTCCCTAGTGGGCACCACATCTGGTGAGGGACAGTGGGTATGACACTTTGAAGGTGTGGATAGGTGCAATGTTCCCCCAAATCCAATTTACGTAAAATAAAACGTGGTAGTACTCGTCACATTTAAGTAAAGCAATCTCATAAGTGGAACACTTTGTAATCAAAGCTCGAAGACTATAAACAAACAAAATCAAAGCTCCAGACTACTCAAGCAACTAAGCAAAGTACTATGCTCTAGACTCAAACTAACAAAGAGTTGAGTGGTTATTAAAGCATAAAGCTTATCAGCTATACATTTTCTATGAACAAACCAGATCACTGTATTTTTGCCACAGTGATCTGGGAACAACAGCACAAGTCTGAGCCCCCTGACCTACCAGCATTTTAAAGGAGCGCCATTCCCTAGTTGTCATCAGGGAGGACAGGACAGGTGCACCAGCCGCATCCAAGAGGGAGGAGGGGTGGTAGTGCATCCTAGCTGTGCCGCTGTCCGTGGTGCTGATTGAAAATTAGCAAAGTGCAGCACACGCAGGTTGATAAATGATTTCATTTAATAAAGTTTATCTTCCTCTTTGATAAAGTTTACTTTTTTCTTCAAGTCTTCCTCTCCCTCTTCCCCTCTGTGGACTCTTCATACTCGCTCTCCTCCTTCCTTCTCATTTTTCGTCAACCAGGCTGGGGTCAGTAATGTTTTTATTTTGAACCACCATAAAGTGAAAGTTTTAATTATTTTTAAACTGCTTAGTCAATAAAGTCCCATTATTGTGATGTTTGATTTTTATCCTGTGTTCCCTACATTTCTGATTTTTCTCATTTCTAACAGGGCTGTTTGTAAATGGAGCGCTGGATTCAGACACAGAGGGTGGATTTAAAAAGATCAACTCAACTCAACTTCATGTGTAAATCACGCCTTACAGGCAAAACGATGCCACCAAGGCACTACACTGATGTAAAGGGTTAATTTACATGTTATTTATTGAACCATGAGACATGAGATTCCATAGAAAATATGAAATCAATCTCATGGTTCCTTGGGTACTTTTAACCAGAAGATTGGAACTTTTTATTGCAGGGATTATGTAACACTTCGTATTGACTGGGAGACAACAGAAGAGAGAGTCAAGTTTTAAAAGTTTAAAGATTTATTACTAAACAAATTAAAACTAGACTAACTTAAACACTAAATGTATGGTGTAACTAAGGTGAATTGAGACAGAGAATGGTGTAGTGTGGAATGTTGTTCAGAACCAGCAAATCCGGAGAAACGATTAGTTCTGATGGGAGTGAAGGTGATGTCTTTGCGCTAAACTTTGATTCAGAGATTCATAAACACATAGGACGCCATTTTTGTCGCTCCACACATACCCTTAGAATGAGACCTCCGTACAGATCCAGACTGCCAGGTCCTCGAACCCCTCTTTCGGTGCCGGAGCCGATGAAACAGCGTCAGCAGTACGACAGACTAGTCTTTGGATTGTCTCCAGGTAAAAGCGACAGTTGGTTGACAGCATCAGATGGACCCGGAGGGTCAATGAGTTCAGCTTTTATTCTGAAAGGAACCGTTGCTTGGTTGGTAAAATGCAACAGATTTTATCCAGCTTGTCGCTGGTTCTTTTGGCTGAAGAGGAAAGTTATGGATTGGCCACTCCGACAACTTCTCTAGAACGCTATGAACTGGCGTTAAAGATGACGTGGGCATAGTTTTATATTTCAGATGTTTTGGTTTATGGTCAAATGAAAAGGTGACAGATTTACCAAGCACCACCAAAACCACACCTCCATTAGATCTGGCAGATTCTGATTGGATCAGTAAAAGCAATGTGTCATGTCTTAACGCTAAGTGTGATCAGTCTCTAGCGGAAACATTTAAAGTTATATTACTTATTATATTCTGTAGGATTATAATATCAAGTAATTAATATTTTCATTTCACAAATTGGTTCACATTTTATTATTGACTAACACTTTGTTTGATTAGCTTATTAAAAATAGAGTTCTTTTATTTATTAAAAAGAAAGAGACCTTTGTCTTCATTCTTCTCTTGAGCTGGAAAGGAAAACAGTTTAGAAGCAAATGCATGAGACCTTGAGGCAATATCTCATGCAGATAAGTTCTTGCTGAGGAGAGGGGGAAATGACTTTTAGGTGGAAAACAGTCATTTCTTTCCGTTACACTGATCAAGTAGAAAAATAAAACATTAAGTCCAGAAAATAAAAACATTGTATCACAAGATACAGATAAAAAATACAGTGAGTACACAGATTGCTATAAGTAAAACAATAAAACTAGTTAGAAATATTAAAAGACATATCATAAAAGTAGGTTTTTAGCCTTGCCTTAAAAGCCACAACAGAGGTGGAGGCCCTTATGCTGAGAGGAAGCTCGTTCCAAAGCTTAGGACCTGCCACAGCAAAGGCCCTATCACCACGTGTCTTTAGGCACGTTCTTGGGCCCGAGAGGAGCATGAGGTTCTTCGAGCGGAGTGACCGTGCAGGGGTGTACGGTTGAAGCAGTGACACCAAGTAAGGAGGGGCCAAACCATTTATCGTTTTAAAAACCAGTAAGAGTATTTTAAAACGAATCCTTACATTAATGGGCAGCCAATGAAGCGCAGCCAGGACTGGAGTTATGTGGTCATACTTGCGCCTGCCCTCTAAAAATCTGGATCAGGACCCATATCACAGCTGACCATCATGTTGAGGTTGACACTGATAGGATAACTGTTCAGGAGGGAGGTCTCGACACATCGTAGTCTGAACAAGAAGTCAACATAAGTGGAGGGTGACATTGAATTGTAAAAAATGTTTGAATTATTTAAGAGGAAAATGACCATTATGAAACAGGAGTAGCAGTCACCCCCACAGGGATCAACTCTGCCTTTAATATGTAGTTGTGTCTGTTTTTCTAGAGTAAAAGTGACCAGCAGGGACAAAGAAACACTTATTGCAGTCAGAAAAATCCACTTGGTCATCTTGGTTCATGAGATAAATGGCAGCAAATTCCTTTGGCCAATTTTTAGACTGAATCCATCATCCTGCTACCCTGAAGGAATTTAAGGTGAGCGTAAGTCTTGCGTTACTTAGTTTTTTTCAATGCAGAGAAGGCTTGTTTTACCTTTTTTGGCTGACGTTTCGACTACGACTGCAGTCTTCTTCAGAACTTAAGAGCGGTTACTAAACACGACTCCTTAGAGCATTCTAAACACGTCTAAACCCAGAAAGCTCTAGCACAAGTCATGTTATGGGAGAGAAGAGAGCAAAAGCACTGATCTGCAATGATCCAACTCTCCTCATGTGCTTAGATGCTCCTGTTTTATCAGTTTTCCTTGTGTTGATTGCAGTGTTGGGAGTAACGTGGTACAAAAGTAATTAATTACTGTAATGCATTGCTTTTTGCTGTAATGTGGTAATGTAAGGCATTACAGGGAAAGAAAATGGTAATATTTACTCTGTACAATTGTCAGTAACGCGGTAATCACAACACATTTTTAAACCCAGAATCAAGATGTGGGTTTCCTAAAAATTCAAATTGCGGGAAGCCTGAAAAAAGATCCAGTATCCACATATATGACGTCATTTACGGACTCAGCTTTGCGGGCATTCTATGAGCAGAGAGGACGCAGCGGTAATGGCTCAAATACTCCAGCTGCGTCCGTCGCGCGGCCGCTGTTATATTCACAAAATCGCTCCACCAAAACAAAGTAATTTGTTTGCGATCGTTTATATCCGCCCATATTCTCTGGTACTTCATGTACTTTTTTCAGCGGAGTTCATAATCTGTGCCTCTGTGATTTCAACTCATTGCTGCTGGAGTGAAGCGCATATTACGCTTTTTATTTATTTATTTATTTATTTATTTTTGCATTCAGTAGATCCCTTTGGCTGATTAGTTAGAAAGTAGGAAATCTAGGAAACTGTTTTTCTGGAAGACAGAGAAAACATGCAGCATGCAGGAAGGTTAGAGAGAGAAAGGGCAGGAAATTATTCACATAAAATCAAGAAAACAAAACAAAGTGCTAGAAAAGAAAAAAAAGTAGGTAGCTTTATCCCCAATACACATTTTTACCAGTGAAAAGCAATAACATATAAGCATTTAATATTTATACGTGATAGAATCAGATCACCCCTGAAGTCAGTCCCACATCCAGGGCCGTATCAAGGCATTTGGGGACCAATTCAAATATAGGCTTGGAGCCCCCACCACCTCACTCCCTGCTCAGTTAATGTAAGATGGCAGCGTGCTGAGAGTACAGACTGTTGTTGCTTTTATTTAATAAAAAATCATTTTAAAGCACTGTTATTATATTAATGTTTTGTTTTATTTTCTTCATGGAATATTGGCTTCCTTGTTTTACCTGGAAGTTATAGGTAACCCTATTGATGAATGTAACGCTAAAATGTAAATAGTTTTGTTTGAAATTTAGAACTGACGTAACCTGAGATACTTGAGTTTTGTAATTATTATTTGAAGTATAATAATTAGAGACCGGTATTGTAGGAGCCAAACTGAATGTTTTTTGTTTGTTACTATGGCGCAGGTGTTTTAAATTTTCATCATGCCGCAGGTGATGGCAGGGGGGCGTGGTTGTCGAGTTCTTATCTGTCATTTGAGTGTCCAGCTGCATTTGTGAGCAGTTGTCTTGAAAACTTTTCTGTTGACCATCGTCATCGTCATGTTACTTTAAACTAGTTAATATAACAGAAGCCAATTAATTCCATCTCAACCTATGAATTTTACCCACACATAAATCATCCCAAAAAACAAGAAGAATCTGAATGGTTTGTTGGAAGACGCGTCAGAGGCAGGCCCACTCACCCATAGCAGCGTTTTAAATGGAAAGAAGCCACTACAACAGTTTTGAAGTAACTTGCCCAACACTGGTTTATTGGAATGGAGAGCAGGAGGGAGGCGGGGCAGAGCTGCTGCTGGGAGCTGGATCAGGCTTGAAAAACATACAAAGCTCCTGTCCTGTGGATCCAATCAGGCAGCGACCATAACAAGCACAGACATCAATATGACATCTGTGGTTACTGTAGCTTGTTCAAACAGCAGCTGGCACCAAATTCTGATTGGTTCTTTTCACTGAGATTTCTTCATCACAAAATAAATAAATAAAATAAAATAAAATAAAATAAATCTACAAAAATGATAATACTGAAAACTGGAAAACTTGTAGAATTTAGAGTTTTCTGTATGCCTTGCAATAATTAAAGTTTTTTTTAAATAATCATTGTTTGTCTTTAAAATTGTTGCTACTGGTGGCAGCACATTTTACACCATGTTCTTCAAGCTTTCTATACTTTATTTTTGCTGTTTTTGCTGCCTTTAAATGTTTGCATTAAATTATCAGATTAGAAAACAATTTTATAAGCAACATTTTTAAACATAGCATAACACGAGTTGTGACTTTTTATTTATTTATTTACTCATTTTCCCCCTGTCCTGTCTGGCTGTGAAGCAAACAGAATTGATGTCTGAATGCTGGCGACAAGCCTTACAGATTTACTCTCAGGTGGAGCATCAAAGCGTCAACACAACACAAACAAGAGCTGTGAGTAATTCCAGCCTACACTGGACATTGAATGTCAACGGTAAAAGTCAAACACGCACAAACGCCCACACACACACACACACACACACACACACACACACACACACACACATGCACACACCCACACACACAGGTGAATTACGGCAGATTGCTGCTTTGAGGGGAATTTGATTTTATGTCCGTAAATGACGCGGGCTGCAGAAGGAGGAGACTGAGAAAATCAATGTTCGCTGAATCATAAATGTTGACTGCGTTTGAGTGAAAACTACAGTTTGAGCCGAGTCTTCTCTGAGGAAGCATGAGGAAAGCTGTGTTGCAGCTCACACTCTTGGGCCTGCTGCTGACTTTGGCTGCTTCACAACCAAACAAGGTACAACCTCTCAACAGAATCTATATAATATGTATGTCTCACCATATGATCATTTAAAATTAAACTTAACAAATTAGTGGCAAGAACAAAGTCCTCCACAGGTTTTTGTTGTTTTGAAACCAGTAAAATAAAATATATGGAGAAGAAATGGAAACAACAGTGAGTTAAAATGAGGTGTTTTCAAAAGAAACAGAAGGTTTTTACACCCTGAAGTAAAAAATTATGTTCAAAAGTGTGGAAACTATGATCAATAACTAAGAATGAAGAACTCAGTTTTTGAAATCAAACTTGAAACAACAGTTTTTAAAGAAATATGTATGTTATTTATTTGGGTTAAAAACTCACAAAGGTGTTTCTGCTTCTGCACCAATGAGATTTAACACTCCAACGCTTTGTTTTCTGATCTTAGAGATCTTTGGACCTCTGGCTTTTCGCAGATTTACTTTCCTCTTTGCCAGTTTGCTTTGTGTGTTTGCACAGGATGACTGGGACATCAGAAGCTTTCACATTAACTCCACTGTCACCAGCCGTTATGCCACCACTATCATCACAAGCCGCGTGGCCAACAGTAGGAATGAATCCAGGGAAATCGAATTCCATGTCCAGATTCCCAAGAACGCTTTCATCAGCAGATTCAGAATGTGAAGATTGTTTCTGGCAGAGATCATTTGAAAATTCAAATTACCAATAGAAACTACATTCAAGATTCAACCGAGGCATTATGTTTGTCATCTGCAGGTTTATAGACGGTCAGGTGTACGATGGGGTTGTGAAAACTAAGGAGCAGGCTCAGCAGCAGTACACTCAGGCTGTGTCCAGGGGACAAAGTGCTGGAATTGTCAGGTAAGTATTGTGATGGATTTAAATAGGCAGCATCTCTTTTTGTGTCTATATTAACATTTTGTCAACTTTCTTAATTGTGGGTCTCCAAAACACAATGCTTCATAAAAGTGCAGCTTCACGCAGTGATTGATGGTTCTCCTGTAGCTCTGTAGGGAGGACCATGGAGGAGTTTAAAACCTCCGTGACTGTGGCGGCCCACAAAAAGGTCACGTTTGAGCTCACCTACGAGGAACTACTGAAACGCACACTTGGTAAATACGAGCTGCAAATCCACGCTCGACCCATGCAGCCTGTTGCAGATTTCAAGGTATGTTGATCATCCAGGAAAACAAAAACAACAGCTGCTTTCACAAATGCTAATAAACTCTTTTATTATCTTCACGACCAGGTTGACGTGTACATTTATGAGAAAGCTGGCATCAGTTACATTGATGTGAAAGGAGGACTGAGCACTAAAGCTCTGGCTAATGCCATCACCAAAACTCATGCAGACAAACAGGTACAACTTGTTTATGTAGAAATAAATCAAATGAAATCATCATTGATTATAAAGTTCATGTGAAACCTGATCTTTGTGGTCTGCAGGCGTGGGTCCATTTCTATCCAACAGTGGACCAGCAGAAAACCTGTGACAACTGTGGGGAGCAGGGTATGAATGGAGATCTGGTTATTGTTTACGACGTCAACAGAGACGATGGACTAGGAGACATCAAGGTAAAACAGATTTTTTATTTGCTGAAGACATCAGGTCTGAATGATTATTAAATGATTTAAGATATATAAGACTTGTATCTTTTTTTTAGACATCAGACGGATACTTCGTCCATCATTTTGCTCCATCGAGCCTTACTCGATTACCAAAGAATATTGTATTTCTCATTGATCAAAGTGGCTCAATGCTCGGCAAAAAAATTCAACAGGTGAATCCTTTTATTGTGTATTTTTCAATCACAAAACAAGTGCTCTATGAAAATACTTATCCAAAATGTTGAGAGTACAGCAGATTTTGCCAAAATAAAACATAATTTCTTTTACACAGACTCGAACTGCTCTGCTCCATATCTTGAACGATCTGGCTGAAGATGACTTCTTTGGTCTCATCACATTTGATAGCTCAATTTCTCAATGGAAACGAGAACTTGTTCAGGCCACTAGTGAAAATTTGGAGGAAGCCAAAGTCTTTGCAAGAAATATTCCAGCCAGTGGAGGTGAGAATACTAGAATGTAAATATCTGACAGCAGAATGGCATTAACCCTCTCAGGCTCAAAATAAGTTTTGATGAAAGGACGAACAATTAAGTCCTTCAGGGGTACTTCTGAGTTAAAAAATGCTCATGACATACGTTTGTGGAGTAACCAGGTAGGTAGGTTGCAACTGTTGCTAATCTGCAACGCCTGCCTCTAGAGGGTTAAAACAGTCTCTTTTTCAGGAACAAACATTAATGACGCTGTGTTGGAAGGAGCACATATGCTGAATGCACATCCCAGAGAGGGTTCAGCATCCATCCTGATACTTCTCACAGATGGAGACCCCACCTCAGGTTAATGAAAACACGCATTGTGTTTAATGTTCATTCTTAAATGAGGACCGAGTCTACAGGTACTTTTATCTGGACAATGGCCCAGTACTCAAATGAATTTGAGGATGCATGTCCACAGCAGCATCCCTTTAAATCTCCTAGGGAACAGGGTTGTAAGAACACAAGTGGACTTGATGACTTAAAGTTTCTTTCCGGAGTATTTCTCTTATCCGATGTCCCCATCTAGTGGCTGACAAGTATTTCACACAGTCAGTCGATCGTTTTTTAAGATGACGACTTCATGTTTCTTGGACATGGTTTATAAAAATGAATTTAATTCTGTATTTCTAAACTAATGATGACACAGAACAAATCATGATGAATGATGGTTGGAGAAGATAACTGAGACGATGAATGAAAAGATGGATTAAGCTTAGATGTTATGTAGCAAAACCTTCTTAAGTATTTGAGAAATTTGTGATGTTTGGGTTGAAAATCTTTTGGGGATTTTATTAATATATTTATCAATAAACTCATTTCCTGCAGTTGAAGAGAAAAGGAGAGAGAGAATAAGCAGACAAGTAAACCAAATTGCAATCTGTGGCAGAGCACAAGGCAACTACCCCGAGTTCAGCTTTGCAAGTTTATCTTATAACATGAGATAAGGAAAGAAGCAGAGGTTTGTGCGTGTGTGTGTGTGCGTGCGTGCGTGTGTGTGTGTATGTGTGTGCGTGCATGCATGTGTGCGTGCGTGCGTTTGTGTGTGTGTGCGCGTGCGTACGTGCGTGCGTGCGTGCGTGTGTGAGAATGCTTTCAGACATAATGTAATACATTTGTTAAAAGGACTAAAATAATGAAATATAAAAGTTCCATAACAAAATCAGTGTTACTGCATGGTTTAACAAGCCATCAGTTATTCATAAAGCCATCCTACGCTAGTTTGCAGATCTACGATACCCATGTTGGAAGCTCTGGGTGGTCTGGAGGAGAGGCAGCCAGATGCGTTTTGTGACCGGATGGATTGGCTCCTGGAATCTCAAAGGATTGTAGTTCCCTTTGAATTAAATTATCACCGGCCACAAGACGCTACCAGGGTCTGCTAGTAAGACGTTCCATGTCTGATGAGTTGTTGCATCTGATGCCACTTGCAAGCGTTGCAAAGAGGCTTTGACCTTGAGTCAAAAGAGAGGATGGTTCCAAGTAAAAATGTTAAAGTTATGTGAAGTGAGTATATTAACCATTAATAACAATATGGTAATATTAATGTGTTTGTACTGATAGATTAACATTATGAAATGCAACAGTTTCTAAGCTGGTGTAATTTAAGCTCTAAAATAAATGATTACAGGAATAAAACATTCATCCACCATTCATTCATGTATTGGACACATTGTTAAAACACTTTGGTTTTAAATACATTGTCCAATCAATAAAATATGATTATATAAACTTATAAAGTTATAACATCATTTATGAGCCAGGGAAGATAAACTTTATTCAAAGAGGATAGACAAGAGGTCCTGCGTCTTCTGCAGCCTTGATGACTTCTGACATAAGTTAAGTATGTTGGAACAAGTTCATTGACTTCATATCGGCACCACAGTGTCAGATTTAACTTTATGAAGAAGTTAAGTTTTGGGCATTTGAAGAAATACTTGGCCAATTGGTATGCTACAGTTTTCACATATTTATAATTTAAGGACGTACTTGTCTGTGAAATGTTCATCAACTCTGCATCAGCCGCGGTACGTCCTTAAATTTGAAGCAGGTAAGCGGTAGTCTAACGCTGTTGGTTAGTTCTGGGGCACTCGGTTTCCTATTGCACAGGGCTCTGCAAGGCAGGGGGCGTGCTTGGCAAAAATAATAAAAATAATGACGTATTGCTTACATTATATCATAGTACATGATAAGACAATCACTTTCACCATCTAGGTCCTGAAGGTGAATCTGAACCTCCCCTGGCATATTTTGACCATACAACAACTACTTAAGCAGCCAAGGTGATAGACCCACCTACCCCCAAGAGTCTGCCTCTTTGAAGGTGGCCAGATTAAAATTCTATACTGCTCAACAATGCCTATTGTTTAGTTTTCCTAAGGAGCTTAAATGTTTTGGCAGAATTGTCATAAAGATAACTGTATATCACTCTCCGAGGACTTCCCAAACTGTGGATTTTCTTTACCTGTAAAGCAGCATTCAGTAACAGCCGTGCCCTTAATGCCTCTTTCTCTCATCACCTGTGTCCATACTGTTCTTATGTTTTGTCTTGTGCAAGACGTTCATAATTATTGAAACAACATTTTTTCTGAACTCCAGTTAGAAATATGATCCCAACTGGAAATGTATTGTGTCTTTGCAGGAGTAACAAATCCTGAAATTATACAATCAAATGCAAGAAGGGCCATTGCAGAGAAATTCCCACTCTACTGTCTTGGTTTTGGGTTTGATGTGAAGTTTGAGTTCCTAGAGAAAATGTCACTGGAGAACAATGGTGTTGCACGACGTATATATGAAGATTCAGATGCTGATTTACAGCTGCAGGTAGGTTTCCTCGCATTAGCAATGTACTCTACCACATTTACACACAGGAGAAAGACTCAGCTTGACCTTTATTGTGTGTGGAGATGGAAAAACTCATACTTTCTGAGTCCTGTGTCTCACCAGGGTTTCTATGAAGAAGTGGCCACTCCTCTGTTAACAGATGTGACTATGATCTATTTGGGAGGAACCAACCTCACCAAGACTAACTTCAGTCAGTATTATAATGGCTCTGAGATTGTGGTGGCTGGTCAGATCACGGACAATAACATCGAAACCTTCATTCCTGAAGTTGTGGCCATCTCAGTAAGAATCAATCCTCACAAATACAACAACACGTCTAAAGTTAAGAAAATAGTGAATATACTTTTAAACTGATATTAATCTGATTGTTGCATCATGACAGAGTAACAGAAAAGTGACATTTTCCAACACAAAGCCCTCTGTGGAGCCCTCTACTGAAACAGTGGCTGAAGGTCTTCTTCAGAGGGTTTGGGCCTATCTGAAAGTGAAACAGCTTCTGGAAAAAGAGTAAATGTTTAAATAGTTCACATGTTTACTACACTTTTTAGAGTTTTGAGGACTTAAAGACCACCAAGCCAAGTGTTAGCAAAATAACACCTGTCATTACTTTATGATATTTTCATTTCTTCTCTCAACTGTTATGTTTAACAACATTTTGTGATCTAGGGTGCTTTTGTCTGGACCAGAGAAAGAAAAAGTGAAGAAGGAGACTCTAGAGCTCTCTCTGAAGTACAGTTTTGTGACTCCACTCACATCCATGGTGGTCACCAAACCTCAGGAGAATAAAACAGAAGTCCTTCACAAACCCAAGGAGGGGAAAAGACAACGTGGTTATGACATCTCATTTAAACACAGTCATGGCAGGGGCAGACATCATTCACTGTTACTGAATAGCAACCGTCCAGTTTTACAGAAAAATGGACATGTAACCAGGAACCGTCCAGGTAAGATATATTTCACTTAAAAAATACTAACTCACACTTTATGATAATAAAACTCTAATGTAAATTACTAGTTGGTATAAGTGCTATCAACTTTCCACTCTCTTCTTAGCCTTTAGAAAAGTAAAAGACTTAAATGGTAACACAAACAAAATTACATTTTACCTGCTTTACTTACGCACTCCCCCTGTCCTCACACACAGCCGCCAATGCTCACTACCACCGTAATACTTTATTGCTAGAGGAACCCCGGATGTGTACTCACCAAGCAAATACTTTTCAGATCGTCACATTTAATGCTTTTCCTTACAACTGTGAACATTTTCTCTTTTTACCTTACCAGCAGCTGACTGTTCTGGACTCTGATTTTTCATCAAGACATGCCTGCTTCATTTTGGTTCTTTTGTTTGTTCCTCACATCTTTTCCATTTTCTGATTGGATTTTGTAACTGTCAGTTTTTGTTGTCATCTTTTATGTCAATCAATGTCAATGTGATATTTGAGATTTTATAGTTTATCTTTTTTTTTTTGTTTTCGGTTGCAAAAATGCGTATGTCACAAAAAATACGCCACCGTATTGGATAACTGTGTTGAATTGTTCACAAAGGCACAGAGTAGTCAAGTGGAGTAAAAATTTAAGAATTCGCATACATTTATTATAAATTCATCTTACGCGTATTTTTTTATTTATATTATTTGATTTTTGAAGACATTACTGTTAATAGGAAGAAATCATTGGGGTGTTTGACTCTGTTGTTTGTTTTCAAGTGTACTATTGTTCAACGTATTGTTGTGACTCATCGATGCTTTCCTTTTTCTAGTCAAATCAAAACACATTTCTCCTCCTCTAAATGAAGGTAATTTGTCCCATCCCTACAAAATACAACATTACACATAAGAATTGTTTTGTTTTCAATTAAAGTCAACCATTTCTCTTTAGAAGTAAAAAAAAGCAGTGTAGCTCTATATAAAGATAAATTAACAGTTAAAGACGTGATTGGGTGGATTTAAGTTACAATCTTTAGAACCTTGATGAAACCAATTTGATGCCATTATGAGAATATGAGTTTTTAATTAGGAATTTGTTTATGTTTCAGATTACGGTCTCTCTTACGCTTCATTACCACGTGATTTTAAGATCATACGATATGAGAGTGAGTATTTAAATACTCACTTAATTTTTTTTAAAATAAAGTTCATCCAGATTCTATTTGAAGTTTCAACTAAAATGTTTTACAAATTTTTGAAATATTATAACCTAAAAACTGTTAGTTAGCCTATATGACACTAAGACTTCATCAGATTATAATATTTAATAACCTTATATGACATTTTCTGTGGCAGGTTTGAGACCTTCCACCCGTCTCCTTGCAAAGCATCCTCCACCTGCAACCTCTGGTAAATTATTGCAAGGAAAGAACTCACAATTTATTTTCTGTGAAAAGTTGCAAAATGTTTTTCATTTGATCATTTTTCTGAAATGGTTTACCACTCTTCATCTCATTATTGTGCCGCTTTCACAACAAATCCAGTGGAATAATGCAATAAATATGACTAGTTCATCTTAACATTTGCTTGTGATGATTAAAGAAACAGTTTTTTACTTATTATTTTTTGAAATACGATTGATTACTCTGAATTTACTATGCAGGCTGAACATGAAAATACTGTTCTACCTGTTTCCTCCAGTAGCCATCGACTGGAAAAAAGAAACGCTCTGATTAGAAAAGCAAGTGACATGTGTGCGTCATATTGAAAATTCATTCATTATTTTGTTCATGTTCATGGATTCACCCATCTTGGCCCATGACGGGGAAGGCTGTTGTTTTTTTAATGGCTAGGAGAGAGCAGAGCACTTCACGGCTAGTTGAAGCTAACTGTTAGCATTAGCAAATCTTTAACAGGGCAGAACTCCTTCAGGCTTGTGTTATTTGTGAAGATAAAACGTCAACATTGCAGAGTGAACAGAGTCAGTGTTGGAGTCGTGTTGCTGTTAGCCAGTCAGAGGCAAGATGCCCAAAACTCAGGAAATAAGACTACAAGATGCACAATTTTGCGTACCTTATTGTAAAGTGTTACCGTGAAATCAAGATGAAACAGAGATGTTAAATCACTGTGATGTTGCAAACTATCTGCATCCTTCATGAAGTTTACAAAAGAGAGTCCACAGGCACTACATTCATCTGGGATTCATTCCTTATTGCTTTCATAAATAACTACCTAGTAGTCCCTGAACAAGACTGATGGGTGTTTGCCACTAAGTACTGGTTAACTACCTATTGGTCCCTGAACAAGACTGATGAGCCTTTTCAGCAGTAACTACTGGTTAACTGCCCATTCTTCCCTGCTTCATTACTCATTACCCTCTACGTCGTTCCCTAATAACGAAGCACAATTTTGCGTACCTTATTGTAAAGTGTTACCCCATTTTTTGTCTGGTTTTGTTACCTTGATATAAAGAAATACTAATAACAGATATTGTTTGAACCTAATATACCGAATAACAATGGATGATAATGAACAATTAAATTATATTCAGTGATTTTTGCTGATCAAATCCATGTAGAACTTAAAACTGAACCAAGTGATCAATGATCTTTATTTTTCACAACAGCCTAATTTTCAAATTCCCTGCTGTAGTTCTTTTTTTAAAAACACAGAACAGTTTTGTTTCGCAGCCACAAACGAAACGTAGCGGGAAAACAGGTAACAAAACTGTTCTGTGTTTTATAAAAAGAACTACAGCATGGAATTAGAAATAAGACACAGCAAGAACACACCTAAGAAGCCTAATTTTCAACTGTCTAACACTTTGTTTCTCTTTCTAGCTCCTCTTACTCACAGATTTTTGCTAAAAACTGAGAATCTTTCTCTTCCGTTGTGCTTTGACATCACTGGACCTGCTATTCTTAAACTTCTCTACTATCCCACCAGAGGTCAGTAACACTTATCTTTGCACATCCCAAAGAGAAATGCTTTCTGTTTATGTCTGTGCAGTCAAGGTGTTCAACTTTTATCTTTCACTGTTGTTTGCTTGGTTTTTCACAATTATGCCGTGATTTGTTGAGCTTAATTTTGTCTCTTTTGTGTTAGTGCTGCATATTAATGGAGAGCTGGACTCAGAAACAAATGGGGGATTCACAAAGATTGCCATCCACGTCACAGCTGACCACCATATTGAGGTTGAAACAGAGATGGTAACTGTTCAAAAGGGACAGGCTGTAACACGCTACGCTGGACAGGAAATCATCAGCTATGGAAGGTGACTCTGAAATGTTGCAATCTGCAGAAAATAATTGTATTTAAGATGCCGTATTCATATGAAATTTTTAATATAATAATAAATACTTCCTTACACAAATTTAATGAATCAAAAGGGTACATTTTCACTATAGAATTGACACAGTAACCTTTCAATGCACGCCAGAGCTGCAAAGTCAAGGTTACACCAGCTGGAGGATTCAGACGCACAAATCAACCTTTTGCTTACTTATTGTTTTTCAACGCAAACATAAATAAACTGTCAAGGTCTCCCGCAAAAGCCCTTATCTCTCTGCGTAATCGTGTGTTGAATGAACAAGATGTTTAAATGAATAATCTGTGCTTAAATCAATGAAGTTGAAATGAATATTGCTCTTACAATGATCTATTGCAGAGCTTATGATCAGTATGTGTTTGATTTAACAAGTTAATCACAATCTACACTCATACACGTCTTCATAAGATACAAATTAAGGTTAAGGTTCGCCTCACATAAAGTTTAAAGATTCTCGTTCACAGTGTTATGAATCTTGTATCTGAAGGAAGGTGTGGCTTTCTGAGGAATGTTTTGATAAAGCCTTCCAGACATGGCACAATCAGATTGGACAGAAAACGCCAGAAATCATAACAAAGTAGTTTGATAAAACAAGAATTACTTCCCGAGTAATTCAGTTTCTAGAGGAGTTCCGAACCTGCCATTTCGGAACAAGCATCCTTGAGAAATCTCTTTAGACATGCAGTCAGAAACCTGTTTGCACGCTGCAAGCTGACACCGACAGACGGCTCCCTAAGAGCCACATCCACTTTGGATGCAAAGAAGCATTCCAGCTACTGTTTTGACCTGGAGACATCTCAAGGCTGTACGGGTTGTATCGGAGTTTAATCTACAAAATCCCGGTGCCATGAGGTCCACCCGACTTCTGACAGTCCGGATTGCTGGGGGTCTCCACCAGGGTTTGTAGACACAACAGATTGCGCCTGATGCTGTTTTATTAATAATCAACTCTCTAGTTTATAGCAGACAACTACTTCGTTTACACCCAGATTTTACAATTTCTTTCAGATACAAAGGTTCTGATAAACATCTAGCTTGCATCACACCACCTACCCATAACATTCCATCACCGCATATCCACTCCATCACATCTCATTATTCACATCTTGCTATGTATAATCATTAGTTTAGAAAAGAATAAAATTCCTTTTTAACCCTTTGAAGGCAGGCGTTGCAGATTTGCAACGTTAAAACCTACCTACCTGGTTACTCCACATGCATAGTTCATGAGCATTTTTTAACTCAGACGTACCCTTGAAGGACTTAGTTGTTCATCTTTGTATCAAAACTTATTTTGAGCGTGAGAGTGTTAACTATATACTTGACTCTGAATTAATACGAAGTGTGTTTATGGTCCCTGAGTAAGCCAAGAACCCTATCCTCTGACTAAACATTCAAAGATCAATCAGATTGATATTTCATATTTGTATGGAATATCACCTCTTATTGATTGTAATTAATATGTGTTAATTGCTACACAAATACAGGTCCATGCAAATATACATAAGTGCAATTAAGCTATTTAAATTTATTCAGTCAGATGTTTTGTGGTTAAGGGAGCTCCAAAGTAAAAAGAAAGTCTTGTCCAAAATGCTATTTATGTTAATTAGCAGCTGTTCACCCGCTAAACCTGCATTTGAAAACTGGTGATCTGGTGTTCACAACATACCACACCATTTTATTTCTATACAGCACAAGAGCTGATGGTTATTAAAAACAGGTCAAACAAAAGAAAGCAATCCAAATAAAAAAAAACACTAGTACAAAAAAATAAAAACAGCTGTGTGGAGAATCTAGTGTTGATTTTCTTATCTTTGCTCTTTTAGTTCATAATAAACCCGACAGCCACAATTACAACTGCCTAATGCTAAAGTCATGAGCCTAAAGCTGTAACATTCATGCCAGAATTTCTTTTTTTTACCTGGTTTATAAAGTTGTGACCTCTTATATCCCAACATTGATCCGGAAAGAGACAGAAATAAACCAAAATCTGACAAATCTATAAGTGCATAAACTAATACCAGGTTATGTTCATGTTTCTAGTGTAAATGTGCAGAGGAGTAACAGAGAAATCAACGTTACTGTTGATGACATGCTCTTGCGCATCTTAGTTCATGTGAAGAACGGCCACAAATTCCTTTGGCCCGTTTTGGTACGATGGCCACTTGTCAGCAGCGCAGAGGGAATTTCAGGTGAGTGAACATTCGCTTGTGCTTTTACAACTTTGCTTTATATATTTTTTATATTTATGTATGACTAACATAATTTCAACAACAATTCCAACTGAGGTATGCTAGTTGCTAGAGGTGTCGCCTTTTAACTGTTTTTGTTGTTTTGCAGCTTTGAAGCCTGTAGATTATGAGGAGGCGCACCAACAGCAGACAAAACTGATCATCAACCACAAAAACGTTCATGTCACCAGGTACATTTAATTCAGCTGAAAAGTTGCTGACTAAAAACAGACATTTTTAATTGTTTGTGTGTCTTTTGTAGATCGTCTGCTCATGACTACAGTTTTTCCTCTCCTTTGGAATTAAACTGCTGGCTCAGTTCACCTGATGATGCTCTGCAGAGACCCCATCAAGATTTCTTCACTGCTCAAATTTAATATGTTTAAAACTTTTGTGTGAGACAACAAAACACAATGGAGAGGCAAATTATTTAAAACAACCTCACTTTCTAAAATTCAGGTCAAAAATGAATAAATATCTTGGTGCAATAAACATCCATGGACCGTCAGGAACACATTGAATGAAAGATTTTAAATCAACTTTTCATATGTTTGTTTTCTGCAGTACATCATTTGAAAATTATTATGTTGGTTTGTTTCTTGTTAAAATGCAGTTTTATGACATGTTTTCATTGCATTAAGTGCAAAACCACTGCCATGTAAGTGAATTACCTGAATTATTCCATTAATTCTCAATGTAGCAACACTTTTCAAAAGTAAATCGATCTTTGAAAACCTGCTGTGCAACACAATTAGAGCTGCAGCTCCAGAGTTTCTGCTGAACAGGTTTCTGTTGATGTAACATTGGGCCAAGCACTGCAATCTGTAAAGAATGTGTGACATTTAACCCATAACTCTACACAGACTGCTTGTGCATGAAGTGCAAAGTGAAAGCAAATGAAAGTGTTTGTGCCTTATGTCCTGTTGTGTATTGAGTTACCAGATGTTCTTGCAACTGCTTAAATCTTGACAGCCTTTTAACACCCAGCCTGATAAATGTGTTGGTTGTCAATAAATCTTAAGATGGAGACATGTCTAGACTCGTTTCTATTATTTCATATTTGGACAGGGAGTTGCTTGAACTTGGAAAAGATCTTATCTGAATTTAACTGAAAACTGAATATAATCCTTAGTAAACAGTGCACTTCAGTTTCAGTAAACCACCACCCACTCATCTGTCTGATGGGAAAAACTGATTTCTTTTACACAAATTTACAAGACAGATGTTTTTTTAGGCATATTCCTCTGGTGTGGTTCACTTTTTGATCCAGGACAGTCCAGTCAAACCAGTTGAGCTCCTGTGCGTGTAACTTAAACTCCTCCTGTTATGAATTTCCTGATTATCAGGGTTCAAAGGTCACATGATTTCTCAAGAGTTAAGATGACAAAACCTGTTTGAACACACCTTACTGTGCTCATTACAGCTTCTCTTCACCATGTTACTGAAACCACTCACTGTGTAAAGGTGAGTGTGAGGTGGATAATTGTTAAAAAAAGCAAAATGTGTGGACTTTAACCTTGTGTTGGTTACTCTATAATGAGAATGTAAAACAGGAAGTTTCAGTATTGAGTGAGGCTTGATCGGAGAGGAGGGAGGGAAGGGATGGGACATCTGCCGCTGACGTTTGTTGTGCTTTCATATGACTCAAACACTTCACAGGTTACAGCAGTGGATAAACTCATTGTGGAACATCTTATCTAATATGGATCCCTCAACGGGGTAAGTACTGAAAATCACACTAAAGAGGGCTTACCTGTATAATCCTAAACTATTTCTATGTCCCTTTCATTTCACTTTTTTGATTGCTTTACTTATATCTTGATGTCCAGAAGTGGGCATTTTATTACATATGTTTGCAGTTAGTTATAAATCTGAATACTGGCATTTTCAAATGACCAAACCGATTTGATTTATATTTTAAAAACTGAATTCATATTTCTGTTTGTTTGAATTAGAATAAAATCAAATAGCTAACGTACGTGTGATTGTCACCAGGCCATAAACAGAGGCTGAAACCCAGGAAACTGACTTGCTCACGGCGTACGTCTTAGTTCGCTGACTGTTTCAACAACAATGAGGGAAAACCACATACCAGCCTGATTGGGACGTCATGTTGCTCCTAGAAGAAATATGTGCAACAAAATGCTGTAGGACGTCTGCTGCAGCGTGAAGCAGAATGTTTCCTCCTGAATGGATCTGGGGCATTTTGCTGGCTCTGCACGGGTCAGCCTGGGCATTGGAGGTTTCTAAATATGACAGGGATACAGTCATCTGCTCACAGGTATTATACGATACACCTAAAAGCAAATTACATTCAGCACACAAAATAACGTTTCCATTATTAGATTTCAACTTGCAGACTGTTTATTTTGTTGGAATCTAATTAAAAACTGCTGGTGAGTGAGATAAGACCATCTGTCAGCTCTCCACAACAGGATACTTTTTATTCATGGCTGTAAATATTTGCTTTGTGATCGTTTCTTTCCGAGAATTTGATAGCATCTCTCCCTCTGATTCTTGTCTCCTTCCAGGGTCTTTCCGATTGCATCCTGAAAAATGAATTTTTTAAAGCTAACAACAACGTGGCATTTCAGAAGCTGAAACCTGGTTTTAAGCTGTGCAAAGACAGAAAAGCTTATGTATTGTGTCTGGAGATAGAGCTAGAGCTCCACATCCCTCTGGATTCAGTCAGGGAGGATGAAGTCCAGTCTGGAGATGATGATGAGGCTGACAGAGATGAGACAACGGATGAACAAGGTTAGACCATAATCAAAGACTAAGGTCGTCTGAAATGCTTGGAAACAATAACCCTTTTTAAATCTTTGCTCCTGTGTCAAAGCAAGACTTGTCTTTGGTGCTGGTATTCTGTCTCTAAGTGTCTGTGGAAGAGAAAAAGTCTGGTTGTTCACCGTGAACACTTTAAAGAACTGCTTCACTTGTACAACAAGGCTGTAAATGGTCTTTCATCGGTAACCACATATCCCAAAATAAGAATAATCCCAGCGTTGTATTGATACTGTCTCCAGCATTTATTCTCCTCCCCAGCAGGAATAGTTATCTTGAGCTGAGGATTGCTTCATATTTCTTTATCGTTTAGTAAAAGGTGTTGAATCTGAGATCCAGTGTGTCAACAACTCCCCCCTCTAGTGAGGAAACCCCTCAGTGCTCAGTGGCATTCACCTCCTTCTCCTCAGTGACATAAACTGTCCTGACTTCGGTCAGATGAAGCTCTCTTCATGTGCATCAGATGTGTTACCTCCCTCTGTCCTAGTTGGGTCTCTTGCCCGCATCGGTCTTTCTCTCTTGACTTTTGGCCTGTTTCTAAGCTACATTTTATCAGTAAAGTCCATGCAAACGCTGTAGAAACTCAGCTCAGATCCTGGTTTCCTTAAATTCCAGCACTTGGCTGAGACTGCTCTGGTAAATGTTTACAGTGACTTCCTAATGGCTGCTGATTCTCTGTCGTGTTTCTGCTAGACGTCAGTGCAGCTTTTGAACACAACCCCTTATTGAACAGACTGAGATTCCTAGCTGGAATCTCTGGTCCTGCATTTAACTGGCTCTCCTCTCAAAAACAAAACATTTTCAGTGAAGACAAAAAAAAACTTTACCTCAGACACTGCCTCCTTAACTTGTGGAGTCCCACAAGGCTCAGTTCTGGGATCGCTATGCTTTTCTTTTTATGGCTTTCCTTTAGCTACCATCATTCACCCCTTCTCTGATATATCATATCACTTCTATGCTGATGACCGTTGGCTAAATTTCCCATTTATTAGTTGCTGACAATGAGCCAAGCAATGGTGATTAAGTGACTGAGAGCCATCCCAACACATACTTCAAGAGCTATCTGAGTATGCCTGACCTTTGATTTAAAGATTTCTTGTTGGAGTCAGAAGATCACAACTGCTAAATCTTGATTTGGCCAAGAATAGCGATAACTCTCAATTCTCAGACTCAGACGTGACCCTGAAGACTGTTGGTAATATGCACACCTTAATTAAATATATCCTGAAAAAAAATTCTGCTGTTTGACTGCGAAACTTAGCCTGATTCATAAAAAATCCTCGAAAATGACCGGTTGTGCAGCTGAAGTGGGACTTTGAAAGTAATAAGTGATTAATTGAATGTTTTTAGAAGAAGAAGAAGAAGAAGAAGAAGAAGAAGAAGAAGAAAATATCATTTCTATAGTGCCTCTAAAGATAGAAATCACAAGGCGCTTCACTAAAACAAAAAATGTAAAAATATAAAAAATAATTTAGAAAATGGTTAAAAATATATTTAAAATGAGCAAAAAATAGACAATTGTGATTAAAAAAATTTACAAAGAGAGAGTAAATAGAAAAGAGGGAAATCAGTGGATCCTGAGGAAGGTGGAATAGGTGGGGAGAGCAGAATAAAGAGAGAGTGGTGAAGAAGTTCATACAAAAGCCAGCTTGAACAAGTGAGTCTTCAGCTGCTTTTTAAAGGAGACCACTGAGTCCACTGATCTCAGGCTCGGGGGGGGGGGGGGGGGGGGGGGGGGGGGTTTCCAGAGTCTGGGGGCCACAGCAGCAAATGATCTGTCACCTTTGGTCTTTAGCCTGGTGCGCTGCACAACCAGTAGGCTTTGATCACTGGACCTCAGGGGCCTGCTGGGGGTGTAGGGACTAAGAAGATCACCAATGTAAGATGGTGCTTGTCCATGTAAGGCCCTATAGACCAGAACCAGGATCTTGAAATGAACCCTGAAGTTGACTGGCAGCCAGTGAAGCTGGAGGAGAAGCGGGGTGATGTGGGTGTGTTTGGAGGACTTGGTCAGAAGCCGAGCACAGGCGTTCTGAACCACCTGTAGACGGTTCAGGGAGGTTCAGGGAGGACATATGAGTCTTCCGTTGCTGCATCAGTCCATCCTTAAACCCACATCTGTCATTTCTTTTTCTTGCAACAGCTTCAGTGACTGCCTGTTATCAAATTCCCAGGGGTTTGTCCACATGCAAGAAGGTGGAATTTACCATCAATCACACAGCTCTTGCTCAACAAAACCAGACCAAGGTGCTAACCATTTACTTGAGCCATGTACCTTTGATCAGTGTTGACTAATTTCCAGTGCTCTGCTCCTATTTAATGTTTATGTGTGTCTTCTCTACAGGTTTCCATAGTAATCACTCAGTCCAATGGGATTAACTATGGAAATCAAATCATTATCCTAACCACTTTAACCACTGCAGAGGACATTTTTGCACCTTCTCTAAATGAAGGTAACGTTTTGGCCTTTCTGTGTCATATAATAATTACTAATTATCTCACAGCTCTTAACATAGCGGGGTCAAAAGGTTCAAGTGTCATAACGAGGAGCAATAATTCATTTTCAGTGAGAGCTTTATGTGAGGTGTTGTAACACAGATCACTGCATGTCCACAGTGTGTTCCTTCAAACGGCAGAAGCATATACATGTGCCAGAGTGTCAAGGTAAAACACACAAAACACAGAAAGCCATTGTTTTCATTCCAACATGTTTGAATTTGCAAGAAATTCTTCTTCTTCTTCTTCTTGTTCTTCTTCTTGTTCTTCTTCTTCTTGTTCTTCTTCTTGTTCTTGTTCTTCTTCTTCTTCTTCTTCTTCTTCTTGTTCTTCTTCTTGTTCTTCTTGTTCTTGTTCTTCTTCTTCTTCTTCTTCTTCTTCTTCTTCTTCTTCTTCTTCTTCTTCTTCTTCTTCTTCTTCTTCTTCTTCTTCTTCTTCTTCTTCTTCTTCTTCTTCTTCTTCTTCTTCTTCTTCTTCTTCTTCTTCTTCTTCTTCTTCTTCTTCTTCTTCTTCTCAGTGCCCAGAGTTAATTTTATTCTAAATCTGACAACCAATCAAGTTGAGCTGCAGTTCAGTGGCAGGAGTAAGACCTCGCCCGCGTTGTGTTTGCAGTATGAGAAAAACGGAATCTGTCAGGTTAGTGTTTTATATTTTATTAATTTATCCAGTTGATGCCAAGATAGAAATCATTATTTTATCAAAATAGATAAAATATCAATTTGTTCAATTGACAAACGTATTTGGGAGTTTATTAATGTGCACATAAAAGTAAACACAATTTTTTGCAATATTTATCAAATTTTTTTTGATGATGTTTGTAAGCAAAATGTGTAAAAATAATACACTTTTTAAGCAAAATAACCTCATGCAAAAGTGTCAAATGTTGACATGCAAACATTTTCTTATAAAGCTGCTTGCTACTACACACTATTGTGTGTGTGTGTGTGTGTGTGTGTGTGTGTGTGTGTGTGTGTGTGTGTGTGTGTGTGTGTGTGTGTGTGTGTGTGTGTGTGTGTGTGTGTGTGTATGTCACCATATTGCAAAAGGATAAAGGAACATTTGAGCTGCACATCAGTACATTTCAATGATCATGCTTTGCCACACACCACATTTTAGTCAAATACCACTTGACAGCAAACTTTCAACTATTAAAGCAAACTTCTAAAGCTGTACAAATGTTTGTTGTTAGCATTACATAACAATATGCAGCAACATAGATAGTCAGAGAACTTATCAATGTAAAGCTGTCAGCCTTGTTGAAACTGTGTCAGAGGGAAGTACATCTGATCTGGGATCATAGTTTGATAGTAAATTTATGCAGGGTCCAATTCTCTTAAGTTCCAGATGCCTGAGATGACTCAGATTTTTTTCAGAGGTTATTTTAACATGAATTTCATATTGACAAAAGAGTAAAGACCTGCACTTTAAACCAGGAAATAGAGTTCTGATGGATGTTTCTGTTCAGTTAAGAAAATCCCTTCTGAATGCCATTTGCAAATAGACTCATGTTGTTCTAGACATTTTGACTTGCAAGAATAAGTAAATCCTGGGGTGTATTAATACGGGCTGCGCTCCACTCATTCACTTATGCATTTTGAAAGTTCATTAAATAAGAACGTCTGTTCCTGTCAAACCAGTCAAAATGTCTGCTTGTTCAACATCTGACTGTAAAATTGGTTTTCTTTAAGCAACACTTAATAGGTTTTCTGCTTCTCTCCCTACTGGTTGAAAGCAGAATTTACAGCAGTCGTAAACAACACAAGCAACAAAGCCAGGTCACCATCAGTCCTTAATTTTGTAGTCTTCAGCTCTTTCAAACGAGTGTAGGCCATGTCAATGTTCACTCTGGTTTTAGCTCATATGTTTTGCATCACAATACTACTCTCTTACTTTTACTTTCATGCTCTGCAGTTATGGCAACAAAAAAAGAAAAATTATTTTTCTTCGTGTGCTTTTTATTGACAATTGTTGAACTAACAAAGCAAACTGCTACTCTTTGTATGAGCCACCAACACAGTAAACAGCTACAGCCATAAGACAGGCACCTCCCATTAGCAAACCTACCCAAATCACAAAACTGTTAAATGCAGTTTCTGGTGAGCAGTGGGCTGCAGAGAGCTGTCCAATGTGAAGTTGTTAAAGTTTATGACTCAAGAAGCACCGAAACCAGTTTTGAAAGCAATAGTTTTAAAATGGTAAAAACTCGAGTTGGTTTAACTACACTACTAAGGCTTAATATTTTAAATGTTTCCTATCAGGAACCAAGCCAAAACACCATCCCATTTTATTCTGTGGCCCCCTGCTTGTGTATCCAGGTATCACAAATGTATTCCATCAACCATACCAAATGTCTCATTTCAGATGATAAACTATGCTTTCGTGTATTTCAGGCATGGTATAAGACTGACCAGGTGTCTAGACGCATTGAGAAGTGTCCCTTCAATGGCTGTTTTCCCAAAATCTCTAATCAAAGTAAGTATATTGAGTTTATTTTCCAAAGTAACCAGATTTGATATGCTTCTGTAATGATGAATTGTTTTTCTTGCTTTGTTTTTAGCATTACGACATCACTTACAACAAAACATGTGGAACAATGTGACAGTGGACATGCGTTTGAGCAAAATGACAAATGGAGACATGATGTTGTTATGGAACATTTCCGCCCCCTGCCGGCTTGAAGGGGAAGTGCATCTCTGCCACAAAACAAACTGCAAGGAAAGGAAAGACAGCAGGCTGTTGTCCAATGACACATGGAAACAGAACATCAAGGGACTTTGGGTAACGACATCCTGTCTCACAAGAAAATCTACCTTTCTACATCATCTTGTTGAATTAAAAATTATTTAGAACCTGTAAAAAACCCACAACTGTTTCTTTTTCAGGTAAATGAAGTGGCCTTTGAAAGCATAGACGAACAGATTTCACATTGTGTGATGGTGAAATACTTTCAATACTCTCATACACATAAATGCTCATTTCAGTGAAGCTCCAAAACAAACTAGAGCTATTTGTCCGTTTTTGCAGGTCAGAATACAAGGATTAGATCATGAATTTGGGAAAATCTGTACTAATGATGGTGAGTTTGAAATATTTTATATTAAAGATACAGATTTTGGATTAAAGTTGATTTTTTTTCCTTAACTGAAGCAAAGTATTGGTGTTGTTCGATTTTCCTGAAACAGCTTTTGTTGCTCTTGCTGCAGCTGGCAGATGGCACTGGAGTCTCCTGGTTGTTGGTGTGCTGCTGCTTGTGTGTTTGACTGCACTCATGATTTGTGTACTGCATGATTATGTCAAAAGTAAGTTATCTTATTGTTTTCTCTTGTATGAAATGGGCGTAATATTTCCAAACAGACAAGCAGTAAAGTGTCATTTGTAGCTGGTTTCCAACTCTGGTTGGAATTTCCCATAGAGCATCCAACAAAAGCTCCTTTCATTCCCACCACAGACCTAATCTTGTTGGCCGGGTCTTGAATCTTTTGCCTCATGCATTTTGAACAATTGAACATTTGTATATAGTTAAGTTCTCTAGCTTTATTTCTGACGAGCTGTGTGTTATATTTACCTGTGACATTCTGGCTTTTATAGAATGGGCGTGGAGCTGGCCTCATGGAGGATTTGTAAAGAGTGAGTTCTGTTTTTATTTCTGTTTTAAAAAAAGATGTGACCTCAAGATAATACAAGTCTGTCTCTTTTTCCCCCAATTTAAGTTGGCAGAAAAGGTCATTTGGTTCTGCTGAGCCCTCCAGATGTGGATGATGGTGTTGCCGAGTCCGTTCATCAGCTTGGGTCCCTCCTCTGCAGCCAGGGCTTCAGCGTATCCGTGGACCAGTTCAGCAGGAAGGAGCAGTGCTCTCAGGGACCTCTGCTGTGGTTCCACTCACAGATGCTAAAGCTGGACCGGATGGGTGGCAGAGTTGTGCTTGTTGTCACCCCGAAAGCCTCACAAAGAGCCGAGGAGTGGAGCCGTTTAAACAGAGATGGAGCAGCTAAAATGACACAGCAGTTCCTGTCTCCTTACTCCGACCTGTTTACTGCATCACTGTGCCTCATTCACAAACACAAGAGTCTGGGCAAGGCAGCCGAGCGCTTTCTTCTGGTGAAATTTGACTCCAGTAATCAAAAATCTCTCCCAGAGCTGCTCCGGGGCCTACCTCTGTTTCAGCTCCCCTCTCAGACTCAGTCGCTCCTGACTGAGCTGACGGTGGTAGAGACTAACATGGGGCCCGGCGGGTGGATGTGGAGGGGATGCAGGTAGAAGGCTGATGGAGGGAAAGTTGGAATGCTCCAGAAATGGCACAAACAGCCCAGCTGCAGAGTGAAGGTTACGGAATCTGATGGACAGAAGACACTTTGAAGACTTCACTCCAAATATGTTGATTAAAAGAAAAATTTTGAGACAAATATTTTAGTATAGCAGGTGGACAGCAAAGTTTTTAGGAAAGGTGTTTGGCTCCACATGCAAAACTGCAACAAAAGTGATGAGATTAAAAACGACCAGTGGTTGGACACCGAGGAAATACATGAAGCCCCATCAGAATTAGATTACTATCTTAATTATTAGCCATTTTTAATGTATTAAAAAGATCTAAACATAAAAACGAGACGTTCTATTTTCCACAGTCTTGTATCCATAAAGCTGTCAACATCGGTCTATAAATACTTTTTGTGTCACACTGAAGTTGGTGAGTCAGTCTCATTGGCAGAAACTAGTGTCAGTTTACCAGCACTGGGGTGTGCTTGTCAAGTGTTTCTCTGCATCTCAGAGGGGTGGTGTTAACAGACATGCCTGGTTACAGCAAGTTCCACCCACTCAGGAGGTTGTCTTCATTGCAACAAAAGTTTTTCTGGACAAGTCACAGAAGCGTCTCGGTTGGCTTCATTCTGTTAAAAGTTGTCAAACACGGTTCTGTTCTGGTGACTCAAAGGTAAACACACTAAATTATTATTTATTTAACAACTGTTTTAGTGAGCGACTGAGTTTATTCACAACAAGATGGTATTTATTTTATTTTTAATTTTGAATGCTGCAGCACTGAGAGGCTGTGTTAAAACTCCTAAATTAGGTTAAAGGAGCATTACAGATGTTTACTGGAGCTGTGCAAAGTATTGTAAAAATGAAGGTTTGCTTCAAAAGTTATGAACTCACAAATATGAAGTATTTTCATCCTGTAAATTGGTACAGATCCTTCAAACCCTTTGTTTCATATTCAGATAGTTTTTTTTAATCGGTGTGCAACTTTGAAAAGAAACTGTGGATTCTATGAGGAAAGCTGAGTATTAAGACAATGCATGAAGTATAAATATTCAAACACAAATGCAGATTTTACCTCAAATCATAGCTCACCATAATGTTAAGCTTCTTTCTAGGAGTTTTTATGCATTCTGTTCCTGGTTCCCAATAAACACTACCTACCACCATCATATGTTTTGTGTCTTTTTAAAACTTTATTAAAGTTTTAAATATTATTTAGTGCATGCATGGGTGATATCCTGCAGGATACTGACAACTTTGTCTTCTGGTCAGATGGGAACTAAGTGGCTTCCCAGAAACGTGCTGTTTTTGAGTCTGCTGGCTGTTCGGGCGCACAGCTGTCCAGATGCCTGCAGCAAGTGTTCAAAGCCAGATAACTGTGAATTCTGCAGACCTGGATGGATTCTTCATAACAACACTTGTGTTGGTAAAGTTTATAGAGTGGTGGTCTGAATATGACCACATTTACAATAATTACGGCTTCAAAGAATTAATGCATTTGTTTTGTTTGTTTTAGATATCGATGAATGTGGCACAAAGCTGGGTAAATGTTCACAGAACAGCTACTGCTTAAATACAGAAGGGTCCTTTCTGTGCAAAGGTCAGTGTCTTTACAAATATAAAAAAAACAATGCGCAAAGTTATTACAATGCTGAAATAAAACCTTTAACAAACTCAGGCCTTGTTGGAGTGTCGTAAAACCATATTGGCAAAGGATTTTATGAAATAAATTGTTTGGTAACACTTTACAATAAGGGTCCCTTTATTAACGTTGCTTAGTGCATTATTAAGAAAAATATAATAAATCATTAGATAAAGTCTTAACTGCTTAATATTACTGTTAATATTAAGTAATGCATTACTAAGCAGACCCCCGCCATCTTGGATGGGTCTACATTTGCCCCCAAAGCATTTATTTCTCCTGAGGTAGGTGCTTACCTAACTAAAAAAAAAAACATTTTATTGTGCTTTTCACAGAATGGTATGGCATGATAATTAAAATATAAACATCATTTAAAAGAATTAAAATATGAAATCCCAACAGGTAGGCTAGAAAAGTCATTAGTAATCCAACATGATCCGTTCCCAGTAGAACGCTGGTCGTTGCAACTGTAGACTGCACAAGAACATGGGGGTAGTTGCTCACTCTGCGTTGACTCCAGTTGGGTTTGGAGAGTGAGGGACCCATCCAATATGGCGGCGACACTGTTATGCTCTCCAGGTCCCAATGGGGTGTCTGAATATTCATGTCTATGGTTCTCGGCACACTTTTAATGAAGATTAATATTTTATTTATTGATTAAACAAATAAACAATAACTTATTCAGTTCAGTTTTACAATCTGTTTTACCTTTGGTGTTACGAGGAAGCAGTCATTATTTAGTTTGAAACAGCTGAATACTTCTCTTGCTGCCAGATATTAAAATTAAAAACATTATTAAAGGCCTTCATAAAGCATCAACATCAAATATAAAATCCATCCATCCATCCATCCATCCATTTTCATCCGCTTATCCGAAGTCGGGACGCGGGGCAGTAGCCTAAGGTGAGAGGCCCAGACTTCCCTCTCCCCAGCCACTTGGGCCAGCTCCTCCAGGGGAATCCCAAGGTGTTCCCTGGCCAGGTGAGAGACGTAGTCCCTCCACCATGTCCTGGGTCTACCTTTAGGTCTCCTCCCACTTGGACGTGTCTGGAAAACCTCACCAGGGAGGCGTCCAGGAGGCATCCTGACCAGATGCCCGAGCCACCTCAACTGGCTCCTCTCGATGTGGAGGAGCAGTGGGTCTACTCCGAGCCCCTCCCGAATGGCCGAGCTTCTCACCCTATCTCTAAAGGAGAGCCCAGCCACTCTTCAGAGAAAACTCATTTTGGCTGCTTGTATCCGCAATCTCGTTCCTTCGGTCACTACCCAAAGCTCATGACCATAGGTGAGGGTAGGAATGTAGATCGACCGGTAAATCGAGAGCTTCGCCTTCTGACTCAGCTCTCTCTTCACCATGATAGACCGGTACAATGCCCACATCACTGCAGATGCAGCACCAATCTGCCTATCGATCTCACGCTCCAGTTTTCCGATGTCCATGCGATATTGCAGAGCCGCGTCAGCCAACACAGCCCCACAACATCCAGAGCCTTAAGGAACTCCGGGTGGATCTCATCCACCCCTGGAGCCTTGCCACAGAGGAGCTTTTTAACCACCTCAGTGACCTCAGCACCAGAGATTTGAGAGGCCAACCCAAAGTCCCCAGACTCTGCTTCCTCACTGGAAGACGTGTCGGTGGGATTGAGGAGGTCTTCGAAGTATTCTGCCCACCGATCCACAACGTCCTGAGTAGAGGTCAGTAGCACATCATCCCCACTATAGATAGTGTTGGTAGCGCACTGCTTTCCCCCCTGAGGCGCCGGATGGTGGATCAGAATCTCCTTGAAGCCATACGGAAGTCTTGCTCCATGGTCTCACCGAACCCCTCCAATGCCCGGGTTTTTGCCTTGGCGACCACCCGAGCCGCATTCCGCTTGGACTGCCGGTACCTGTCAACTGCCTCTGGAGTCCCACAGGCCAAAAAGACCTGATAGGACTCTTTCTTCAGCTTGACAGCATCCCTAACCGCCGGTGTCCACCAGCGGGTTCGGGGGTTGCCACCACGACAGGCACCGACAATTCTGCGACCACAGCTCCGGTGGGCCGCCTCAACATATAAAATGTTTTTGAAAATTTTCTATCATGTAAACCACTTGCAACTGTTTGCGACTAGTGTGTGTGAATGGTAAAATAAGCACATGACCTGTGTTTCGCCAGCGTGTGACATGTCCTGTGTGGGCTGCCTGGGCAGCGGACCAGCTCGCTGCAGGAAATGTGCTCCAGGATACAGACTAATGGGGTCCAAGTGTGTAGGTAATTATCAGGAGAACACTACCAAATGTGATGCATTTAGCATTAATCTAGATGTGTTTGCCTAGATGTGGATGAATGTAGTGACAGGGTGCTGGCCTGCCATGGCCTGGATGAGATTTGCTTCAACACAGAAGGCTCTTTCCGCTGCGGCTGTGCTGAAGGATTCACCCGAGAAAATGGTGTTTGTGTGAAGAAGCAGCTGCCCAGTGAGTGCAGTTTAACACAGATTATTTATTATTCCAAACCAATAAAAAGAAACTTAACCGTCTGTTCTCTCCTCCTGCAGGTGTTCAGGAGAAAGGTCTGTTTGAGGATCTCCAGGATGAAGAGGTGGAGGTGCTGCAGCAGATGTTTTTCGGGGTGGTGCTCTGTGCGCTGGCCACACTTGCAGCTAAGGGAGATCTGGTTTACACCTCTATGTTTATGGGAGCTGTGGCAGCCATGGCGGGTTACTGGCTCTCTGAGAGAGGTGATCGGCTGATGAACAACTTCTTCAAACAACGTTAAAACTCCACAACGGTTTTAAGAAGGTCACATCTGACAGTAGATATGTGGACTGAAGTCAACAGGTGTGCATTAAAGTATTTTACGTTGAAAGGGAAATAAGACGCTGCAGAGCAGAATAAAGTCTACTGTGCTCAACTGAAGAGCTGTTTAACGTCCTATGAAGCTGAAAAACACAACAGTATAAAAAGACAGAGGCTTGTGTGCTAGAAGAAACATTTTTATGTAAAACTGTTTCAATTGGTCAATTTAAATCTGGTTTACAAGCTATTAATCATTTTAAATGTAACTGTTTTTGCTTCCTTTAGGTATTTTATAATTATTGAACTCTGAGGCTGCAAGAAAAAAAGCTTCTAATTGTGTGTTTTATATTTTTTACTGTGTTTATGTGATGCTGCCAAAAACAAACTCACTATGATAGCATTAGTGTGTTTTACTGTGCGAAAACAAAAATTTACTTATGCAAACCTTTGTGATAGTAAAAAGAAAATGACCTGAAGGCTCATGAAACTGGATTCTCAGCATAAAGCTGAAAAATCATTGTTGAAACCTTTGTGTTTCTGGATCTCGTCATTCTACTGCATGGTTGTTTTTTGTGTTATGTTAGTTATTGGGTCATCAAGGTAGCGCGACTCATGTTGCGAAGGACCACAGGCACCAATTCTTGTTGAATTGTGTGTACTGAAACTCAGTTTCATTTCTCTGTATGTCTTGCACATGTGGTAGAAGTGACAATAAAACGACGTTGACTTTGACTTGACATTTTCACACTAATTCTGATTGTAATTTTCTCAAACTTAGAGTGATGGTGTGTATTTACCCTGGCGATAGGGGGCAGTACATACCTAAATCATTGTAAACAAGTTTTTTGTGTGTGTTAGAGTAAGACCTTACCAACGGATGGCTATTAGGGTAAAAATTCCCTGGGAGTGCAATATTCGAACGAGTGTTCCGTCCGATTGTTCAGTCTCCAGCAAAATGACGAGCACATCAGACTACCTTTTATCACTGACAACAAGTAAAGAGCTAAATGTGTAAATCAATAATTTCGTAACCTTTTGTTAATGCATTTCACCTCACAGGCTCCCGTAGAAGGAAACATGGAGTTGCCCAAAGACTTAGACCTGCTCCCATGTATTTTAGACCCAATTTTTATGGTTATGTGTTACTAAGCTGCCAATATTATTCAAAAACTGGGCATCATTTCATTGTTTTCAACAACATTTCAATGGATACTTCAAGATTAATGATAAAAACTACACACTGACACGTTAAAGGGATGCTAATCTTTACAACAGGAGTATTTCTGCAGAAACACCATTAAATCCCAGCTAGAAATGCTCCATGATGCATAATACAAAAACCAGCTGCTTGCACTAATAATCAAATCACATTCTATAAAAGTGACAGTATTGTAAAGATATTAAAACTTGCAATTTCTTTGCTTGTTTTAGCTACATAAAATCCCACTTTCCCTTACTGGACTAGCCTTTAGCCTTTCAATCCTGTCTGAGCTTATCCTTGTTTCTCCTGGTTGTTTGAAGAGCAACCTACAACAGCTAACATATGACCTGTCCACAAAAACACTTCAAATAATGAGAATTATCACTTTATTTTAAGTAAACACCATTATGTGTAAATTAGAGTAAAAAATCAGCAACAAAAACAGAAAGAGTCACCTTTATTTGATGGATATAAACAAGCTGGCCAACACTCAATAGTATTATTCTGATACAGCACAGACAATAGCAAACCGGGGCACTGAGGACAGCCTCCTAGATTTAAAAAAAAGCAACTGCAACATTTCACAGTATCCATGCGCCATTCAGAACCTTCTCAGACTCACTTGTTTTCTTTAGCGATGTGTCAATAAAGTATTTTTAAATAGAATTTTCTCTTCTGAATTTATAACAAACACACATACTTGCAGTTATGCACATGTAAACGCACACACCCGCACGCACGCACGCACACACACACACACACACACACACACACAACTCTGTATTCTGAATACAATGCCCCCATAAAACATGCTGCACTCTCACAAAACTGCACAGGCTGTCTACTAAGGGGACACGGTAAGTGAGACACGCGTCAGTCTCAAACACGACATCACACCATCACAATGCACAATGCAGATGCAGCTAATGGTTGAGGAGTAATGCTTTTTTGGTGGAGATTAGCTCACGTTCACACGAATGATCATTCAGCATGCTGGACACACATTGAATAGGTTCCTAGGTCTTCTTTTTTTACTGTACAACTCAAAACATTTACTTTTACAACTAGTACAGTCTCAAACTGGCCTATTTAATAAGCTGAAATGATAGAAAAAATAAATACGTAGAGCTTAACATTGAAATAAACAATAAAAAAAGTATAAACGCAACATTTGCTCTGTTAAATAAAAATATTTCTGGCATTGGTCACAGTGATTTGTTTGATCGAAGGTTTTCAGCAACAGAAAAACAACTTTACAGCAATAAAGTGAACGGTAGGCTTTTTAAAAACTTCTTTAAAGGCCTTTTAAAAATGACTGGATAATCTAGGTGCTTTTCTACTCAGCTGCTTCTAGGCACAGATGAAGCCTTTACTTCTTTGACTTCGGCACAAACTAAGCCAAGATTTACTTTTTGTCAAAGCTCATAAAAACGCCTCCTGCCTCCAAACGTTAGTGTCTCCACCGCCTTTTATTCCCTCATTTTTTCTAAACTCTTTGACACAACGGCATAGAAACCCCTCTGCATAGAGAGCAGGATTCATCCGCGTCTTCTCATTCAGTTGGCACATAATGTAAAAAGTCAGCATGCATGGGCACAATTTAAATGTTCTACGTTGTCTACCAAGTAAATCATGTATGCTATGGTAGAAAAACTCCCTACTTCAAGTATTCAAGTAGATAAGGACCTGAAAGCAGAGGCTTTGTACTCCACCCCCTGATGGTGAAAATAGAGGATTTCCGCTCCGCTGTCTGTTTGCATTGTCTTTCCTTATAAAATAAATGAATCAAGAATAAAAACTTGCACAAGCTCTTGATTGTTGGTCAGTGACGTGGGCTGCTGTTGTGGGACGAAGAAAAAGCTGATATTTAGTTAGTGAATAATGATCAGCTTTAAAGATGGATAGAACAGGCACCGTGAGGGAAGAGGGAGGAAGAGGGTGAGTAGTAACAGTCTGATTCTTTTTATTTTTCATCTTAATACTGCAACATGTGTTGGTTTAATTTATTTTAAAACAGCTGCCAGTCATCGCCATTTCTGCATGAAAAACACACTAAGTTAATGCATCCAGACAGAGTCACCGAAACCTCGTCTTGTTGTGATCGTCCTCATTCACAAGTGCAAGCAACACTGTTACCTGTGTGAGCTACAAAATAAATTATGTGGTTTTCGACTGAGTTGCTTTACCATTAAAACAGAAATCCGGAGTTTTTACCAGAGGGCACCATCTAGAGGTGGAGAAAATGGATTGCACCTTAAGCCACTCTCCCTACTTTTGTGGTTACGGCTGAACGCACACTTTTAACCATGCAGCAGAGCTGAATCTCTCTCACACACACAATTCCACAAACGTAGTCCAACACAAATGGCTAATGTTGAGCAGCACTCAATTCAAGCTGTGGCTCTAAAGGATGGGGGGTGATATAATGTATTGCCTACATCATATCACAGTACAGGATAAGACTGTCAGTTTTATGGATTTCGGAAGGAATAATCAATAATTCCTGAAAAGGGGGAACTCTGGATTTCTGCATTAATGCAGGAATGTAGTTTTTTTGAAAATACATCTAAACTGATCTTATATCGCTGCTCTAGAGCATTTTTATTTTTGGGCTGTCCTGTGATTCCAGACAGGGAATGTTGAATTGCTGCAAAGTTAATTTATTTTATTTATTTATTTTTTTGTTGCAGCATAAAAATCTGATGAAAGTCTCTAAATAAAACATCTCCGACCTACAGCCAGTTAGAAAAATAACCATAAACGATAAACCAAACAAAGAACATTGTATATCTTGTCAGTTTGAAAAGATTTTCTGACCACAAATAGACACACTCTATAGATTTCTCTCTATATGTATAATATATGCATATCTATCTTATGTTTACATATTTTACGAGGCACAGGCCACCTTGTAGAGAAGGAGAAAACGAGTCACTATGTGTGGGGAGGTCACACGGACTAATTAGACCTGCAGGGGTGAACATCTACTTGACGTTTCCACCACTTCATAGTCTATAACGATGCTTCTAGAAGTATTTCTGGAGGGACATGGGTGTTATTCCTGGTAACGTTGTTCACAAAGCCTCCTTTGTTGAGCTGTATGTACAAAGCAGTCTTTTACAGTTATGAAGCCCGCTGTGGGATTGAGTCCCTCCACTGTAAAAGGACTAAAAGATGCTCTGATTAGATCTTCTGACACCATTTGGTTTGAGCACCACCAGAAGCACCATTAGTAAAAATTCCTGCAACACAGAGGAGGTGCATAGTCTCAGAAAATCAAAAATAAATGGATGTTTTTTTCTTTCTGACTGCTGTATGGGTCCCTCTGATTGGATAGTAAATACACTGAGTTGATTCAAATACACATGAAAAGTTAAAATAAACATACCTCTATGTTGACATCTGCATAGATTAATGTTTTTTTGACTACTGTTGATTAAAATGAGGTAACATGAATTTAAAAAATAAAATGCTGAAAAGAGCCATAGATTTTAGGTTTGGATCTTAAATCCAGACGACTCACGCAGCCAAGGAAACACTGCAGGAACGGCTCGAGGTGCTCCATCGGTTAGCCAAAAGTGCTTCCTTGTGCCAACGAGAAATGGCAACAGAAAACCTAAAGTGACTGAAATGAGGTGCGTGGAACAAACGCCAGACCCCATCACAGTAACAAATGCTCAATGATTGCAAGTCCCAGTGTGCCACAAAAGGTGAATACAGCTAATCAATAATTAATCTATAACAGAAGACACTCTTGAGTGCTTGGCGGAGGGGTCAGGAGGGCAGCCAGGAAGGAGGATAAAATCAAAGTCAAAGGCAGTTTTAGAACGGAAACGATACTGGACTGTCACGAGAGCTCAGCTGGGATGATGAAGAGGCTTCATTCAGCAGGTGACCAGCAGGTGAGGGGACATCTCTGAGACCTCTGTGTCCATGTTCTTCACATCTCCAGCATGGTGGATCATCTGTGAGTCAAATCGTGTTGGTTCTTCCTGTTCGCACAAATTGGAGGTCCCACAGCACCTTGTGAAGGACACAGAGATGGAGTCGGATGTCTTTATGGAAATGAAATAATCAGTTTGAATTCATTACCTGCTTAGCTGTCCGTCTCCGTGCTTAATCGTCACACCTGAGTACCCCCTCGTCTTCCCCAGAGAGAGAAAAAAAAAAAACTAAACAAAAATCCCACTGCTCTGAAGTACTGATTCACTGACAGTAATAAAGGTGTAACTGGGTGGTGTTTCAACATCATGGGATGGCCGTGCTCCTCCAGTAGTGACTGAATCATCTGAATGGTAAAAATGACAAAAGATTCATGAGAACTTTTTGTGTTTTATGCAAAACCAGAGGAAAGGTGGAATAATGATGGTTTACATAGTGATACAGAAGCTTCTCTTACCCCTCAAAACAACAGAAGAGCTTTGGTTGGCATGGCTATGCCCAAATTCCTTCCTCATCATCCTGTTGTTTGTCAAATACACAAAAAGTACGTCAACAAAACCTGTAGTCAGTTTCTGCTTGCTGATTTATCGTGTACATTTATATTTTGGTGAATCAGTCTTAAAGCAACACTAAAGAGGTTTGAACAATCCCATGTGATATTACTGTGTGATATAATATATAAAGATGTGCCTCTCTGCCATGGTTAAAGCCATGAAAAATACAGCGCTGCACTTCTGGAAAGATACTGATATTAAAAAATTGTGAGGTCACATGTGTAGATGTAATCTGCCTATATATGAAATAGCATTGCTGCAATAGTCATTTATTTAGAAAAAAAAACTTTTACACTGAAATCATGTGCAATTTTTTGTCTAGCCCTATTTTAGCTGCGGAAATTGACTTTTCCCTGAAGCAGCTTGCGGTAAAAATAGAACACAGTCATATCTTTAGCAGTGCAGTGCAGCTGGTTTGAATTTTATTGGATATTTAACATCATACGTTTTAGATATTTTCTATAGTAGCACTTGGTGTTTTACATGTCCATCCATCCATCCATCCATCCATCCATCCATCCATCCATCCATCCATCCATCCATCCATCCATCAATCCATCCATCCATTTTCATCCGCTTATCCGAAGTCGGGTCGCGGGGGCAGTAGCCTAAGGTGAGAGGCCCAGACTTCCCTCTCCCCAGCCACTTGGGCCAGCTCCTCCGGGGGAATCCCAAGGTGTTCCCTGGCCAGGTGAGAGACATATAGTCCCTCCACCGTGTCCTGGGTCTACCTTTAGGTCTCCTCCCAGTTGGACGTGCCCGGAAAACCTCACCAGGGAGGCGTCCAGGAGGCATCCTGACCAGATGCCCGAGCCACCTCAACTGGCTCCTCTCGATGTGGAGGAGTAGCAGGTCTACTAAGAGTCCCTCCCGAATGATCAAGCTTCTCACCCTATCTCTAAGGGAGAGCCCAGCCACTCTTCGGAGAAAACTCATTTTGGCCGCTTGTATCCGCGATCTCATTCTTTTGGTCACTACCCAAAGCTCATGACCATAGGTGAGGGTAGGAACGTAGATCGACCGGTAAATCGAGAGCTTTGCCTTCTGACTCAGCTCTCTCTTCACCACAACAGACCGGTACAACGCCTGCATCACTGCAGATGCAGCACCAATCTGCCTATCGATCTCATGCTCCAGTTTTCCCTCACTGGTGAACAAGACCCCGAGATACTTAAACTCCTCCACTTGGGGCAGGACCTCATCTCTGACCCGGAGAAGTCATTCTGCCCTTTTCCGAACCAAGACCATGGTCTCAGATTTAGAGGAGCTGATTCTCATCCCAGCTGCTTCACACTCGGCTGCGAACCGCTCCAGCGAAAGCTGAAGATCATGTTCTGATGAAGCCAACAGGACCACATCATTTGCAAAAAGCAGAGACCTGATCCTCAGGCCACCAAAACGGATGGCCTCCACACCTTGGCTGTGCCTAGTAATCCTGTCCATAAAGGTTATGAACAGAATCGGTGACAAAGAGCAGCCTTGGCGGAGTCCAACTCTCACTGGGAACGAGCCCGACTTACTGCCAGCAATGCGGACCAAGCTCTGACACCGGTCATACAGGGACCTAACAGCCATATCAGAGGGCCTGGTACCTAGTACTCGCGGAGTACCCCCCACAGGGCACCCCGAGGGATGCGGTCAAACGCCTTCTCAAAATTCACAAAACACATGTAGACTGGCTGGGCGAATTCCCACGCACCCTCCAGGACCCCCTTAAGGGTATAGAGCTGGTCCTCCAGGACAAAAACCACATTGCTCGTCCTGAATCTGAGGTTCAACAATACGACGGACCCTCCTCTCCAGAACTCCTGAATTGACCTTGCCAGGAAGGCTCAGGAGTGTGATCCCCCTGTAGTTGGAACACAACCTGCAGTCCCCCTTTTAAATAAGGGGACCACCACCCCGGTCTGCCAGTCCAGTGGGACTGCCCCCGATGTCCATGCGATATTGCAGAGCCGCGTCAGCCAACACAGCCCCACAACACCCAGAGCCTTAAGGAACTCCAGGCGGATCTCATCCACCCTTGAAGCCTTGCCACAGAGGAGCTTTTTAACAACCTCAGTGACCTCAGCACCAGAGATTTGAGAGGCCAACCCAAAGTCCCCAGACTCTGCTTCCTCACTGGAAGATGTGTTTGTGGGATTGAGGAGGTCTTCGAAGTATTCTGCCCACCGATCCACAACGTCCTGAGTAGAGGTCAGCAGCACACCGTCCCCACTATAGATAGTGTTGGTAGCACACTGCTTTCCCCCCCCGAGGCGCCGGATGGTGGATCAGAATCTCCTCAAAGCCGTACGGAAGTCTTGCTCCATGGTCTCACCGAACTCTTCCAATGCCCGGGTTTTTTCCTTGGCGGCCAACCGAGCCGCGTTCCGCTTGGACTGCTGGTACCCATCAGCTGCCTCTGGAGTCCCACAGGCCAAAAAGACCTGATAGGACGCTTTCTTCAGCTTGACAGCATCCCTAACCACCGGTGTCCACCAGCGGGTTCGGGGGTTGTCACCACAACAGGCACCAACGATCCTGCGACCACAGCTCCGGTCAGCTTCCTCAACAATGGAGGTACGGAACAGAGTCCATTCAGAGTCAATGTCCCCCACCTCCCCCGGAACATTTTGGAAGTTCTGTCGGAGGTGGGAATTGAAGCTCCTTCTGACAGGAGACTCTGCCAGACATTCCCAGCACACCGGTACGTTTGGGCCTGCCTGGTCTGACTGGCATCCTCCCCCACCATCTGAGCCAACTCACGACCAGGTAGTGGTTAGTTGACAGCTCCGCCCCTCTCTTCACCTGAGTGTCCAAGACATGTGGCCGCAGGTCAGATGAAACAACAACAAGTTGATCATCAAGCTGCGGCCTAAGGTATCCTGGAACCAAGAGCACATATGGACACCTTTATGTCTGAACATGGTGTTCATTATGGACAATCCATGACTGGCACAGAAGTCCAATAACAAAACACCACTCGAATTCAGATCAGGGGGGGCGTTCCTCCCAACCACACCTCTCCAGGTTTCACTGTCGTTGCCCACGTGAGCGTTAAAGTCCCCCAGCAGAACGAGGGAGTCACCGGAAGGAGCGCTTTCCAGCACCCCCTCCAAGGTCTCCAAAAAGGGTGGGCAGTCTGAACTGTAGTTTGGTGCATAAGCACAGACCACAGTCAGAACCCGTCCCCCACACGTAGGCAGAAGGAGGCTACCCTCATTCACTGGGGTAAACCCCAACGTACAGGCACCAAGATGGGGGGGCAACTAGTATGCCCACCCCTGCTCGGCGCCTCTCAGTGGGAGCAACTCCAGAGTGGTAGAAAGTCCAACCCCTCTCAAGGAAACTTGTTCCAGAGCCAGAGTCATGTGTTTAGGTGAGTCCGACTATATCTAGTCAGAACCTCTCAACCTCACACACCAACTCAGGCTCCTTCTCCACCAGAAAGGTGACATTCCATGTGCCAAGAGCCAGCTTCTGTAGCCGAGGATCAGACCGTCAAGGTCCCCGTCCTCCACTACCACCCGTCACACACTGCACCCGACCCCTTTGGCCCCTCCCACGAGTGGTGAGCCCATGGGAAGGGGGATCCACATTTCCTCTTTGGGCTGTGCCCGGCCGGGCTCCATGGGTGAAAGCCCGGCCACCAGCCACTCACCAACGTGCCCCACCTCCAGGCCTGGCCCCAGAGGGGGGCCTCGGTGACCCACGTCCGGGCGAGGGAACATGGTTTCCATTTATATAATTCATCATAAGAGGTCTTCGGGCATTTTACATGTCACATATTTTAATCCATCCAGTGTTTCCTCTGTGGAGCCCTCTGCCTTGCGACCGGTGGTCGGTGGCGGCGGCTGAGGCGCTCCTAGGGTAGTGCCCAAGAAGTGGTAGGGGTTGCCACCCTACCTTCCAGGGCACCCTGGATTGGTGTCTTGGCTACTGCCGTCGATCTGCTGCTGTCGAGGCAGAAGGCTCCCTTGATGGGGTGTCTTTCATTACCTGTCCAATCTGAGCTCAGCCTAAAGTTTACTTTGGTCTTTTAATGGGTTATGTGGACGAGTTTGTGTGTGTGTGTGTGTGTGTGTGTGTGTGTGTGTGTGTGTGTGTGTGTGTGTGTGTGTGTGTGTGTGTGTGTGTGTGTGTGTGTGTGTGTGTGTGTGTGAGAGAGAGTGTGCCTGGGAATGGTTTGTGGATTGGGGGTGAAACTGTCACAATTGTTTTAAGTGTGGGAAAGGGGGGAATGTGGGTTTATGGGTCATTTTAATCTGTTAAGCACTTTGTGTTGCAACCTATACATGAAAAGTGCTATATCAAGTTTGATTTGATTTGATTTGAATCACCCACATAGATTAAAATAGATTCTATTTGAAGAAGAAATTTTCCACTGCCGTTCTGCACCGCTTCCAGAGTGAAGTGGGGTTTAAGGCTAGCAAATAGCTTTTTCAAGTCACTGAATTTTAATTAAAGAAAAAGAATTTTGTTGGCATCATGGTCGAGCGTGGAATTAAATGTAAGAAAATAATGTTTTGGAGGCAAAGCTAAGAATGAACATCTGGGTGGCCTACACTAGTTTGAGGGAGTTAAAGGAGTCTATGAAATCGTGGACTGATGGTGACCTGGCTTTGTTGCTACTGGACTTGTAACTAACAATATTTTGTGTCCAACAATGTGGATCATTTTACTTTGTGGCATATTTTAGTACCAGCTGACTCGTGTTAGTGTTAGCTCGTTGTTAGCACTAGCTACGGCAGACAGTGGCAGAGTTGTTCTCAACAGTTGTAATTCCTCTTTCAATCAATGGGAAGGAGAAGTGGAAAACGTACTTAATGTTGCTTTAAATCACTTAAATGGTGTCTAAAAAAGTCTGACCTGGTCTGGGGAGGGACGGTGACCAGCATGTGGGGGTCCTCGGGTCGGCCCTCCTCGATGGTGGGGGGATGGGTGACGTGGATGCTGGGCGAGGTGCGGATGCTGAGGATGTTGAGGGTGCTGGGGGTGCTGGGGATGTTGGGGGTGTTGAGGATGTGGATGCTGGGGATGTGGTCCTTGTTGGGGTGGGCCATGTGGATGTTGAGGGTGAGGGTGCTGGGGAGTGGGATGTCCATGAGGTGGCACATGTTGGGGATGCTGAGGATGCTGTTGGTGGGGGTGCTGAGGCTGTGGGGGACGTGGATGCTGTTGGTGTGGTGCAAGAGGCTGAGGGTGCTGAGCATACTGTGGTTGTGGTTGCTGTGGATGCGGGTGCTGCTGTGGGACTTGAGGGTGCTGCAGGTGCTGGGCATGTGGGGCATGTGGATACGGAGACTGTTGAGCATGGGAAGGGTGAGGGTACTGAGCTTGGGACTGAGGCTGAGCATGAAGGGGCTGCGGCTGGTGATGAGGAGCATGTGGATGATAGTGCTCGTCCTCGTAGTTGTCAGCTATCAGCTTCATTCTGCTTTGTGTCTGTTGGAGGAAAAGACATGTTAGATAATGATGATTTACAGATGTTACAAATAAAATTCATTCAAAGAAAAAAAAACTGATATACAAATTACATTAAGTTTAGTCCATCAATCATCCAACAAACAAAGGAAATCCAGGACTAATAAGGAGCTGCACCATTTTTTGTGCAAGATTTGCACCTGACATTTACTCAAACAGAACTAATCATATGTTGGTGCAAACATTTTCATTGAGTTTAGCATTAGTGAGCTATTTGCACTCTTTAATTATCTGATGGCAGTTGTCTTCATTGAATAACACAAAGATTGGGACTTCTGCTCAAACACAGCAAGGAGAAAATGGCCAACATAAACATCAAATGACTGAAAGGCCCTTTCTAAACTCTAAAACCTGCTTCTTGAGAGATAAATCATATTTAGGGGAGGATTTATAAATCATAAGAGGCCTTTTGTGTTTTCTAGACCTGCACTGCAATATTTACTTTTATTTGATAAAGTAGAAGACTGCAAGAAATCCTCTGCCTCATCTTTCTAATGGTGAGGGTAGGGTGTTTACAAATATATTGTATTTCATTTGTAATAAATAAATAAAAACACAAAATAACACAATACCAGGCAGATAAAGGCGTTTTGTTTATCCTGCACTGCATTTATGTGGACCAGTGTGTGTGCTGGTAAGATGCACATAGTGGGCAGATGTTTGATGTTATCAGATTAAACCGATTAATCTGTATTGTTGAGTTGGGAGGGAAGGGTCAAATAAACTTTATTTATAGTAAGAAAAAAAAATACATTCAACCATGATATCCACTTTTTGATGCAGGAGAATTTTTTTTACCACTTTGAAACTCACTGCATGTTTTCATCTAACCCATTTTGTAAAGAAATGTGGACAAATCTTTACATTTTAATCACTCAACATAAAAACAATCTTCACAGAATGATACTCATAAATCACCAGTGTTAAAATTGCTAGCTTCCAGAACCGACAGAACCAAGTTAAAGCTTTGGTCCCAGATCAGTCTTCTTCATTTATATTAAAGAAAATGAAAAATAATTAAATGAAGCTGGATCTTTTCTGAATTGGACTGCTATCCACTAAGCAGGAAGCATCAAACAACATTACAAACATTTTCACAATAAAACACAGGTATAAAAACATAAAAGTTGTTGTAAAATAGTATAAGTTCTAATAAAAATGCTAAGTAATGTAACTGAAACAGCTACATGTCATGGAAGTGGCTTCAAGACTTCTTAGTTTAGATTTAAAAACATTTTCCAGTCGGCCTGCAGTTCGTTCCACGCCAAGGGTACCAAGTGGACTGAAGCTCTTTTCTAAAGTTTGGTGTGTGCGAATGAAACAACAAGTGGTCTGCAGATGGAGAATAGCGACCAGCAGTTTTCATTTCCAGAAGGAATCTTATGTAGGAAGGCATATGATCAAAAACCCTCAAGGCACACAATAACCACTTTAAAGGTAGAACATGAAATAGTTTAATTAAAAGCAATAGATTTTTTTTAATAACAGCTCCACTGGGTGTTTAGAGGTGTGCAAACTGACGGTTTATTTACTTTGAAAACTATATTTTAACTATTTGGGGCAGCAGTAGCTCAGGTGGTAGAGCGGGTTGCCTCATGATCGGAGGGTCAAGGGTTCGATTCCAGCTCCCGCCAGGGGTATCCTGCTGTTGTGTCCTTGGGCAAGACACTTCACCCAACTTGCCTGTGTTAGTGGTGGTCAGAGGGGCCGACGGCGCCAAATGGCAGCCTCGCCTCTGTCAGACTTCCCCAGGGCGGCTGTGGCTACAAGTAGCTTACCATCACTAGCAGTGTGTGAAAGCGTCTTTGGGTGTCTAGAAAAGCGCTATATAAGTTCAATGCATTATTATTATTATTATTAACTTAAAAAATCAAATATTTATTTTGATGGGCACACTGGGTTTATGTTTACATCTGCCAACCAATAGAGGGCACCATTCACGTATCGGCAGCGAACCTGGCATCCCGATGGCTGGAAACCTTGCTCTATAACTACAACCTCCACTCACTAGATGTCGCTTTGGTGTTTGCGTTCCATGTTCCGCCTTTTATATCCAAAATAGAGGAAAGTACGGGGCTGTCCTGGTTACAGTGAGAACAGAGAAGCAGCACTAACGTGTTGTTTGAGCTGATGCATCAGTTTGTCCCGCTCTCTCTTCAGGGCCATAACTTCATCCTGGGTCTTCTTTTTGTTAGACGCAGACAGTTCCAGCAGCGCAATGTTAGCATCCTTCTCACTGATAGCTGCCAGCAGAGCTTGTTGTCTAAAAAAACAAACATAAACAGTAAATAATGACTCGATCTTCAACAAAACATTAAGAACTGAGTTGATTTAATTTAAATTCAAGAGCTGATAAAGTTCATATACATAACTAATAAATGATATGGCTGTTTGGAGGGGAACTATTTTCTACTGCCTTTGTTTATTTACAGCTTTACCAGCAGGACTGACACCGACTGCTTTTAACTCATTCACTGCTAATGACGACTAAAGTCGTCATTTGTATTTCTTTACTGTGTTGGCGTCGGAATGAGCCCCCGCAACGTGAGAACAAACATCCCAACTCTAAAGCCGATCTTCATCCACATACGTCACACGTCACATGATCAGGAAGCAGAAAATCCATGTGTTAGGAGATCGTTTTGGGCCACTGCCGTAAAAAAAGTGAGGGCGAACCGGAAAATTCTGCCGATCACAACTCAACAACGGATTATGAAAGAATGGATAAAGCTCGAAATGCGCAGATTCTTCCTGATGTAAGAGGTGAGTCTCCGCTTTGTTTTGGTTGTTTTGGTTGTTTTGGCGTCGACATCATCCTAGCACGCAACGTTCTGTGACTCTTAAAAAAAACAGTAAAAATGGTGAGAAATGCTGGCAGTGAAGGGCTTTACCGATCAGGAAACGGCTGGCAGTGAATGAGTTAAAGGCCCCATGTGTGAAATCCATTGAAATCATGATGAAAAAATGTGACTCTTAAGTGCCATGCAGTTCAGAGAAAGTATTGCAGCTATGGTGGCTCACTCATGAGTTTGACTGTATAATCAATTTCCAACCTGTCCAGCCTAACCCACACAAAGCTTAAAACAAGCTACTCGATCTTTTTAAAAAGTATTTATAATTATGACTGTTTATCAACCTACCAGTTCTGAAGAAAGCAAACTAGTTCTGCTAGATCTTGAAGCTGTCATGATTCACACACATTTAATACTTGTGCAATACCTGATGTACATCAGTATGCCTGTGTCCCTGATGCTGCATAGTTCTGGAAACACACGTTTCCTTTTTATTTTTTGTTTTCAGTGGTCGAAGGTTACAATAATAACTTATTGCCTTTGTGTGTTTACCTGTAATGTTATTATTGTTTTTCTTCTTCCTTTTCTCTAAGTGTATGTGCTGCTGTAATAAATTAATCCCCACTGTGGGATTAATAAAGTCTATTCTATTCTATTCTATTCTATTCTATTCTATTCTATTATCTAGAACATATAATCAATAACATATAATCAATAAAAACACAAAATGTAATACTTACATTTGGAAGTTTTTTTTTATGTTTTAATATGTTTCAGCATTAAATTGAGCTTGGTTCATGCTCAGAAACATTTCTGAAATTTAGAAAATGAGACTATTGGGTTCAAACAAAACAACAAACCAGGCTAGATATGCCACTTCTTGTTGATGTTGTTTCATTCATATTTTTCTTTATTCTTTATTGCTATTTGGTTTTAGAGCTGACATATTTCTGTTGTTATTTGAAACATATTTAATTTATTACAATTTAACAAAAAGTGAAAACCCACTAAAATGCTAGCCTGGAAATGACATCTACTTCATCCAAAGTGGTCCCTCCTCTCTTTTCTAAAAGAATCCTAATATCAGAGAAAGACCCAATGTTAATATAAAAATGTGTGCATTTATTCATGAAAAAATGCCAATAGCTAATTATTGATAAAAGTGTGTTTTTGTATTGTGCTTCAACCTTTTTTAGTTTATAGTAGTCAATTACATTACATTAGGATTAATAAAAAAAAGATATATTTTCAAAGTTATGAACCGTTTACATGTGCAAGTCCTGTCCAAATTTGTGCCCCTATCTGGCCACCCCCAAAAAGCGGTTTTCTAGACACGCCACTGGAGTCGGACCCTAATACTGACTTCATTTCCAGGATCTCCTCCAGCTGTTTCCGGCGCTCCTGTCTCATGTTGGTCAGGTGGGTGTCCCTCTCCTGTAAAGACTGTTGCGTGGAAGAGAGACGCTGCTTTGTTGAATCCAGCTCCTGCCTCGTCCTCTCCAAAGTGTTCATCAACTCCTCCAGCTGACAGAGGACACAGAGATTTATTGTAAACACGTGAAATCAGAACTCCCAATATGGGATTCTGTGGCGTGTTAAATGTAAATATTTATAGGTTTTCCAAAGAAACCCAAAACAGCCAAACTATCTTCACCTTTAAGTGGTGGCCACCATCCAAAGAGCTGTCCTTACGAGGGTCCTGACCTAAGCCTTTTTTGTCCCCTTGTCCCAGTTTGATGTTTGGACTTTTCTTGGTCTGATCTTTGCCTCCTTGCCTGCAATATCACAACATTTTAAAAAGCTTTCCCAACATTCTCGTGTCTGCAGAGAGCTCATGTGTGAGTAAGGAAAATGCCCAGAAATCATAACGAAAACACAAAAAGATTGTGTGTAAACATGTCAGGAGCTTTTTGAAGATGTGCTTTAGAAAATAAGATCAGTTATGATACCATTAGGGTAACAAAGCACGAGAATCACTTTATATGCTGAGCCTCGTGTCTTTGTTACGGTAGCTTTCACATTCATCAGAGGAAATGGACATGAGTATCTGGGTATCTTACCTGGGAGCTAAACTGCAGATGGGTAGAGGAAAGGGAACAAGAGGATGATGGACACGTGAAGCAAACATTGGAAGCAAAAAAAAAAAAAAAAAAAAGCACACAGAAAAAAGTATAAAAAGACATTAGAAGCAAAAAAAACACTATCACATGAAAACAACGATACACAGACGAGATTACGCCATTCTATCATCATCAAACATGAGAGATTACAGACAGGAGGGAGGGTCGCTGCTCTGCAGGCTGACACAGCTAATGCAGGATGCACCTTCTTTGAAAGACATGAAACGTTGTGCAGCTGCTGCCAAGCCCGGGAGTGGCAGGCATGCAGTCAGACAGGCAGAAAGCTGGGCAAGAACAGGAGGGCAGCAAAACGGGCAGGGCAAAGGGGGGAAGCTGTCAAGGGTTTGATCAAGAAGGGTGACAAAGGAGGTCGTTAATGTCGGCCCGACAGCAGTGGGGAGTCAGCCTAGATTCTACCTACTACAGTGGCTCACACTGAGCTCTGCTCCTCCTGAGCTGGGGGAGGGCAGGGAGATAAAGGCGAGAGGCACAATGTTAAAAGTGGTGAGGATGAAAGAAAGGTTAACATGGAAGTTTAAAGGTGACGAGGTGTTAAAGATGTCTGTTGATACAAACAGATGGGTGGACTGAGCAGGGGAGAGGGGTGGGGGGCAGTGTGCATCACAGGATAGATACTAAAAACAATAAGCTGCACCAAACAGTCCAAAAATTAAAAAAACATGAATATGATTTATGGCTCAAATATGGGACTGGTTGGAACAATCACACCAAGGTCTACTTTGGAGGGTTATTTCCTGATATTTGGACATCTCTCCTCTGATTGGCTAACAACAACATGACTGTATAACCGAAACCAATTGCTCTGCAATGTTAATGTTGTATCTCCACAAATAACTCAAGCCTGAAGGAGTTCTGCTGTGTGGTGGAGTTAGTAATGCTAACGGTTAGCTTCTACTAGCCGAAACGTTTTGTGCTGTTTCCTGGACGCCAAACCAACAACAGCCTTCCCTGTTGTGAATCAAGATGGTCGAGTCATGAATGTTTAGTGACAGTGTGAGGTAGATCTGTCAGGCTTTTTGAACTGAGTGTTTTTCTTAGGCTAATGCAGGAATTAGGGGTAGAAGACTATTTTCATTTTGAGCCTGTATGTTAAACTCGTTGATCGATCATTTTTAAAAGTAATACGTCAAAAATGTTTTCTCTGTGAACATTCTCCATGAAGTAAGAATGTTCCAATCTCTGCTCTGAACAGTTGTTACCAGCTACGGATCAGCGACAGAAGGTTCTAGATGACGAGTCACACACAGTAAGCAATAAAAACATTTGACTGTAATATCAATTTGTTGGTAATTGAAGATATATTTTTAGAGTCAACAATTTGTTTCTAATTCATCATTAGTGTTGTTACCTCAACGTCAGCCTCTTGCCTGCTCCACCCGATATTAGAGTAAAATAAAACGATACCATGACTACTTACAGGCGCAATAACAACCTTCTGAGGCGGTCTTTTTACTGACGCTATCCTCAACGCTGCCCTTTTTTCTTTTTTGTTGGCCAGTGTAGAATTACAAATGTCGACGCAGACTTGGCAACACGGCGGGCTCAAATATAATTCTGAAAACAGGAAATATGGGGGTGGGATAGATTGTAAACAAAGACTACGTTCCTTGTGGGCGACGGTGGCACAGAAGTTAAGTAATCACCCCATAATCGGACGGTTGCAGGTTCGAGCCTCGCTCAGTCTGTTGCTGTCATTGTGTCCTTGGGCAAGACACCTTGGTGGTGGTCGGAGGGACCGGTGGCGCCAGTGCTCGGCAGCCTCGCCTCTGTCAGTGCGCCCCAGGGCAGTTGTGGCTACATCATAGCTCATCCTCACCAGTGTGTGTGTGAATGGGTGAATGACTGATTGTGTTGTAAAGCACCTTGGGGGGTTCCAGGACACTAGAAAGTGCTATATCAACTACTGGCCATTTACCATTTACCATTTGTCAGCATCTTCAAAAGGAGAAAAACTGACCTCCATCCAGCCAGCTGAGAAAGATGTAACCTTCCTTCCAACATGCTTGAGGCATTAAACTGTTTTGTGATTTTTCCTGTAAAATTGTTTTTAATGTAGCATTACTGGAATTGAATTCACATAGTTTTTTTTACAAGCACCAGTTTGAAAGAAGATATGAATTCAAGCTGATAATGGATGCTACAAATGGTTGCAGAATTTGTTGGTGTGACTGATTTGACATGAACATGCATTGTTACACAGACAGCCAACAAAAGAAAACAGCATCTGCTGCTCAGGGATGTCACAGAAACAACAGACTATATGCCTGCTGAGACACATATTTGTAAAATAATCTTAACTAAAACCATTTCACAGAAACAAACTGCCATTGAATTATTAAAATTTTTTTTACCTGCTTAATAACAGCTTGAAAATGTAAACATGCACGATAACCTTTTCACACACTCCTACTTACACATGCACAGCAGCAAACATTCAAATTTATTAAAAGTTTCATGCAAAAAGATGTTAGTAACTGTGCAAAGTAACTAAAGACACGTTTAAATGTTTGTGTGCAGGAGGATGTCACTGATACAAAGATGCGGTGAGTCCTGCAGACAGCAGGCAGATGCAGGCCCACGGGTGAAATCAGATGCAGCAGGCGCAGGCGACAGCGTAAACCACTCAGCCATGCTGAAGTGCCAGGGCAGAGCACTCACTTTCCCAGGAAATCCCACACCATGCCCCCTATCTGCTGGGGGGCAGCTGACATAGAAGGGAGCGGGTCAGGGGGAGCTCTGCCACCGGGACAAGGGGTATGGCGAGGGGTGGAAAGAGGAGGGCTGGAGGAGGTTTGATTTTTGTTTTGTTTTTTGTGTTGTGTTCATCAGGAGGAGGGGGGCACAACAGATGATCAAAGGGAGATGAAGAACAGATTGAAACAAATCAGAAACAGAGAAAGAAAAGGGGTTCAAGTAGATCAATGGCAGAAGGTTAGAAAAGGGACAAAAGACAAAAAAGGGGAACAGAATGAAATAAAAAGCAGTTTAACGATGGCAAAATGAATAAGAACACTATTCATTTAAATAAAATTCAGCTGACAAATCTGAATAAAAACCAAGTATTGTAAAAACATTTATGTCCATTTATAGGAAAATGCAGCATCCAGCCCTCATCTAAAGATCTAATGTGATTCATTCATTTTTGTGTTCCCTTAATCCAGGAGTGGGGAACCCTGGTCCATCGAGGGCTGCTCTCCAGCATATTTTAGTTTCAACCCTGAATCATCACACTTGATTTCAATCAGCAGACGATTGACGGGCTTCTGTAGAACCTGATGAGCTGCTGAACAGGTGGGTCAACCACTGAATCAGAAGTGTTGGAGCAAAGACGTGCAGGATACCGGCGCTCGAGGAACAGGGTTCCCCACTCCTGCCATATCAGATATACTTCTTTATACATAAAAACTAAAATCTTCTTAATCAGACAATCTGAAACATAAAATTTAGTCTGGGAGATCTGATCACAAATTGAACTCACCGTAATATTTTCTATTTTTCCAGGATTTGCATTACATGTCATGATTGTATCATATTTAATTGTATTTTTATGCTTATATAGCAATTTAACGTGGAGATAAATAAATTACATACAAATCTGCAATAGAAATGTATACATGCACACACACACATACACACACACACACACACACACACACACACACACACACACACACACACACACTTACTTATGCATGCACATCTCTTCGGATTGTAATGATATTGACATGAAAACAGTAAAGAAGGTAATAGAAGGAATTGTAAGACCTTTAACACACATTTGCAACTTATCATTTCATACTGGAAAAGTTCCAAACAAAATGAAATGGGGGCGAGGTTGGCACAGGAGTTAAGTGCTCGCCCCGTAATCAGAAGGTTGCGGGTTCGAGCCCTGCTCAGTCTGTCGCTGTCGTTGTTTCCTTGGGCAAGACACTTAACCCATGTTGCCTGCTGGTGGTGGTCGGAGGGACTGGTGGCGCCAGTGCTCGGCAGCCTCGCCTCTGTCAGTGCGCCCCAGGGCAGCTGTGGAGGTACATTGTAGTTCATCCCCACCAGTGTGTGAATGTGTGTGTGTGTGTGTGTGAATGGGTGAATGACTGATTGTGTTGTAAAGCGCCTTGGGGTGTTCCAGGACTCTAGTAGGCGCTATATCAAATACAGGCCATTTACCATTTTAGAATACAGGCCATTTGCCATTTGCCAAAATAGCTAAAGTAGTGCCAATGTATAAAACTGGGGATAGACACCAATTCACAAATTACAGGCCTGTTCCGTTACCACCACAATTCTCCAAAATTCTAGAAAATTTGTTGAACAAACGATTAGACAAATTCTTAGATAAATATACACTGATATCTGACCGCCAATATGGATTCAGATAAAAAATATGGAGCTAGGATTGGGACAATATTCAGCGTAACTTGTACCAAGTTTTGTAACTTCGAACATGTTTCATCACATGTAACTTTGGATTCGTAACTTGTAACTTTGGATTCGTAACTTGTAACTTTAGTTTTCTAACTTGTAATTCTCAATTCGTACTTGTATTTCTTGTTTTGTAACAGGAACATTGTATTTTGAACATGTATTCTTTATTTTGTAAAATCAAACTTTTATTTTGTACATTTACTACTCATTTTGTAACATCAAACATTCATTCAGAAACATGAAACTTTCGTTTTGTAACTAGCAGACTTCCAAATTGAAAAAAATCAAGGTACAAGTTTGAATTCAAAACTCTCAAAACACACATTTCATTCTACAGGTACAAACCTCAAATCTACAGTGTTACAGATCTTTTTGTCTTGATTCTAGCGTCAGTGGGAGGAACTTGGGTGGAACCAATGAGAGCACGAGTCTTAGCTACCAATCACGTTTCTCGAATTCCTGTCCAATCATTGGGAGTCCCAATCCTAGCTCCATGGGGTTAGATCTACATCACTGGCATTAATTGAATCAATTGAGGAGATCACAAATGCTATAGAACGGAAACAATATGCAGCCGGATTATTTCTGGATCTCAAAAAGGCATTTGACACAATTAATCATGACATATTAATTAATGAACTGGAATGGTATGGGATAGGGGGGCTGTATTGCAATGGGTGAAACGTTATTTAAGCGACAGGAAACAATTTGTAAAGATGGGCAACTATTCTTCATCATTCATGGACATTGCATGTGGTGTTCCACAAGGCTCTGTACTGGGTCCAAAATTATTTATTCTTTAAATAAATGACATTTACAAGGCTTCTGATATATTGAAATTGGTATTATTTGCTGATGATACAAATAGTTTTTGTTCTAAGGGAAATCTGGGGGAGCTGCTGGATACAATTACATTAGAAATGGACAAAATAAAAAAATGGTTTGACAGTAATAAACTGTCATTAAATTTAAGTAAAACAAAAATAATTATATTTGGAAATTCCCTTAGAAATGAACAAGTGCAGATCAATATAGACAATGTGGCAATTGAAAGAGTGTTTGAACATAAGTTCCTAGGTGTAATTATAGACGATAAATTAAATTGGAAGTCACATATAAATCATATCCATAATACAATTTCAAGAAGTATATCAATATTGAGTAAAGTAAAACACATTCTGGACCACAAATCACTCCACATTCTCTATTACTCCATGATTGCACCATATCTGTACTACTGTGCAGAGGTTTGGGGCATTACTTACAAATGTTCATTATCATCAATCTCTATATTACAAAAAGGGCCATTAAAATAATTCATAAAACTGGCTACAAAGACCATACCAATCCACTGTTCTTAAAATCTAAAATTTTTAAATTTCCAGATCTGGTGCATTTTCTCAAAGCACAGATTATGTATAAAGCAATAAATAAACTACTTCCTGACAACATTCTAATGTTATTTTCTAAAAGGGAAGGGGGGTACAATTTGAGGGATGAATTTAACTTAAAATATCCTTGAATCCGTACAACATTAAAAAGTTTTTGAATTTCTGTGTGTGGAGTGAAGCTGTGGAACAGTTTTAGTGCAGATATGAAGCAATGTCCAAGCATGAGGCAATTTAAAAAGCAGTTTAAGGATTTGGTTTTTGCAGAGTACAAGGAGGTTGAGAATTGATGATCTACAATATTTTCCTTGACATAATTGTGCACAGGTATGTTGCAGTGGGTATCTCTATGTTCTTAAAAATATACATGTCATATATACTGAAACTATAAGGAGGAATGTCTGTAGGCTATTGATTGTTAGGGTGGACAGGGGGTGGGATTAAATAAGCTTACGCTTCTTCCTGCTCCTTTTTGAACATTACTTGTAGTGTTTTTTTTTGTTTTGTTTTTTATTTGTTTGATTTTTTCTCTGTCTATTTTCTTCCTTTATTTTTTGTACTGTTTTTTTAATATGTTCAAAATAAAGATTCAATCAATCAATCAATCACATATACACTCACATGCACATATATATAAACTCACACACACATACACACACACACACACACACACACACACACAAACAAAACTTTCATTAACTCATATTAATTTCTTGACTGAAGCCTATGCAGAACATCTGGGGCTATTTCAGCTCAAATTGACCCCAAAGGCGATGTAACTGATAAAAACAGTTGATTACAGTCCACATGACATCACTTCTACCTCATCCACAGTCTTAACTTGTGTACTTTTGGGTTTAAAAAAAACAGCTCAAGTAAACATAGTGGAACACACAATTGGTAGTATAATGCAAGTCCATAAATATTCTCCTTTTATTTTGAATTACAACCAGCTATACTTTTCTATATTGTTCTTTTTCCAAGCAATGGCACTCCTGATTTACAAGATCCATATCTGTAGCAGCTTTTCTCTGCTTTTATAGCAGCAGCATGTTTTCTTCATGATAAATAAAAAGTCTAACTGGTTAGTGCTGACACTTTTCAAACAAATGTTCCAGAAATTATCTTTGAGGCATTTTATAATCAGGCCTAAGCATTTTCAGGGCAATCAACATTGATTCTAGTATGATAAAAGTATTTTTGGTTTCAAAATTTGTATTCTGATCATTTTGAATCCCACTAAAACCTGAACTATTTACCTGCTGATGTGAATCTAAATCTTTGGTCTCCTCTTCACATCCATTCGTCTGTTTTTTTTTTCTCCTGCTTATTTGAGATCGGGGTCCTTCAGACCTGCTCTTTTAAATATCTGAGTGATTGTGGTAAATATTATTGCAGTTTCAATATTTAGCAAAATAATTGAGATCCTGGATATCTTTCTTATAATTGAGCAGCCCTAGATGGTGGACTTCATTATATGCTATTAGAAATAAAAAATAAAACATGTACAACACAAATATCCATGACTTCTATCAAGCTGCAAGTTTGCTTGTTGTATTGTAAACTAGTCAAAGCCAGTCCTGAAAGACATCTCCTCAAACCTCACAAGATCCGCTTAATCTGTGGCTTATTATCTCAGTGGAAACAGCAGAGTCAGAAAAACGCATCAAACAGAGCGAGCCATGTAGGGATGTTCTATTAATGAGATTAGCAATAATAAAATTAGAGGCTTATTTTACCCAAATAAAATCAGAAGCTAGAAGCTCATCCAGAACCTAAAACCACACCAAATTATGAAAATGGCAATGCAAAATTTTATATAGCTCTTAAAATGTTAATATTGTTTCCATATGTGGAGAAATAAATATTGGAATTGTACATTTTATGCACTCTCTTTTAAAGTACTTCAGTATATTCTGAGGAAAAGAAAAAATATTTTGAAATATTCTATGAACATAAACATAAATCTAGCTAGTTTCTAAAGTTCATCATAACTTTACCTTTCCAACTCAGCGATCTTCTTGTCTTTGTCGTTCTTCTCCGTCTCAACCTCACGCAGGATGTCCAGGAGTCTCTCCACCTCTGTCTGAGCTTTGGTAGCTTCGTCCTTGTAGTAGCTCACTTCCTTTTCCAGCAGCTTCACTCGGTCCACGTACTCCGGGTTAGCTCTGGAGCCCGTCTGCTGCTCCACCTCATGAGCTTTCTGCAGACACACACCAAGAACACACACAAACGCATGCAAACACCAGGTGATACACTTGGTTTACATCAGAGGGTCAGCAGAGCCATGCAGGTTGGTCTCCTGAGCTTAGAGGAAGGATAATCCAGCCCACTGCAGTCCTATTCTCTCTCCCTGTCTGTATGAATGTGACATAGAGTAAATGTTGTGGACCAGGGCATCATTACTGCTGCTGGCTCATTAGTGTTAACTGAGGTATTACTTAGCTAAATTTAAAAAGCCCTCTGAGACTCCCGTCATCTCACACACTTCTACAGAGTGCTGGACTGTGTATGTGAGTGTGTGTTTGTGTTTTTGGAGCATTAAAAGAACAATTAAGTGAATATCATTCTGCTTTGTTATATCTATCAAATGCACTGACTTCTTTTTGGCCACTTTGAACAAATGTCAACGTCAGTGAAAAAGTTAAGTTGATAACATTGGACACAACAACCCTTGAGACAAAACAAATCCACAAACGATGCAAAGTTACACAGAGCCATCCACCAGAAACACTGCAGAGATATCCACCGACAGCCGCTCCAAAGGCCGCCTGCACAACACCAAGATCAAAGAGAAGCGTGGCAACACTGACACCATGCAACAAGGTTAGACGAATCATGCAAACCCAACAAAGCTCAAGAGTTTCTGGATTTATCAATCAAATGTATGAAGGATGAGAAGAAAGAGCAACTAAATCTAGTTCGTGGTTAGACTTTGAAGGTTTCCTTGAAAAAACTCCATGACAGCTGGGCTCCATGTTGAAAATGGGAACGCATTTCAGTATAAAGCAGGTTCAATAATTGTTTTGCTAATTGATGGAATTTTATTTGCTTGTTGTAAATTTCAGTCTGGATATCTGAGCTGCTTCAAATATATGAATATATCTAGAAAATAAATAAATAATTAAATGAAATGAAGGGTCGACTTCACTCATATTTTTAATACATTTGCTGTTCTGCTGTGTGGTGGAATTGCTAATGCTAACGGTTAGCTTCTACTAGTCGAGACGTTCTCTGCTGATTCAACAATAACCTTCATCATTGCGAGTCAAGATGGGGGATTCCATGAATGTTTAGTGGCAATGTGATGTAGATCTGTCAGGCTTTTCTAATCCTAGAGGAGACTATTTTCACGTCCAGCCTGCATGAAAAATTCAGAGTGACTGATTATAATTAGAAATAGTAATTATTTTTTTTCAGAAAAATAGACTTAATCCAGGACAGTATAAATGTAGCCTGGCCAGCCAGACTCCTCCTCTGTTTAATTCTGCACAGAGAAAGGGTCTGGGAACTCTCCTATTCAATAACCCCACCCCCTGAGAATTCTAACCGAGCCGATCAGCGCTGAGTAGTGTACGTCACACACCACAATGCTGAGTTTGTCGAACATGGTGAGTGAAGCGGAGTTCGCTGCGGCTCTTTCCTTTGTTCTAAATGACTTGGGCATGTCTTTGAAACAACAAGTAGAAGCACTGAAAGACTTTCTTATAAAGAAAGATGTTTGCGCTGTTGCCAGACGCCAATTTTGACTACAGTTGAAAAACTACAGCATCGCGGACGGCACGCACAGCAACGCTCAGTTTCTCATAAACAACGAAGACAGCGGCGGAGTTCGCTGCGGCTCTTTCCTCTGTTCTAAATGACTTGAATGTCTTTAAAACCACAACAAGTAAAAGCGCTAAAAGCATTTCTTCTAAAAAATAAAAGATGTTTGCGCCATTGCCAAATGCCTTTTTTTACTACAGCTAAAAACTACAGCTTTGCACGGTACTGTTGGCATTTCCGTCTTTTTTCTGATTGGTTATTTTTTAGCTGCCTAGTCCCGCCCCTCATGTGCCTCTCTGCCTGTCAGTGACCAGACTCTTTCTCTGTGCAGAATTAAACAGAGGACGAGTCTGGCAGGCCAGGCAAGTACAAAGGATATTGGGACAGTCTGTGGTTACCTTGATGGACAGTCTTGTCAGTAGATAGCCTCCATGTTTCAACACCTGAATCCCATCAGTAATCACCACACCTGGTGTCCCTCAGTAATCACATCTCACATCTATTGTTAAGGTTGTGTTTCAGCCATTGTCCCCCTGCATGTATGTCAAACAGCTACAGTTATGTCAAAGCTGTACCTTTTGATAGCAGTGGGGATTCCAGATCTTTTCACCTCACTAATCAGCTCTTTTGACTCCTCTTGTGGTATCAATGATGTGTTGGTTTTGAACAAACTGACACTGTTAACACTAGCAAATACTTGACATTGGTCAAAACTGTTGTGCTGTTAGCAACCAATAGGATGAAATAAAATGCCAATTACCCAAAGTCCCACCTTCATGTGAATGAATGGAACATCTTCCTGGGAAAAAACAACCCAGATCATTTTTAAAGATGTTGACGCCAGCTGAATCACGTAGTTAAGCTGCTTTTTATTTTTCTCAGGAGTACTTGTGTAATGGGATGTTAGATGTTTTAACGCTGCAGGATTGTATGCAGATGAATTGTTCCGAGTGTGCAGACCGGTACTTGTAAACAGCACATTTTATGGACATTTAAAAAGGAGTCAGGCTCTCGTCGTTTTTCTGAATAAGCTGAAACAGAACTGGTTCATTCTCAATCAACACATCACAGGATTCTCCTAATTAAACCAAGAGTCATGAAACAAACTCACCCAAAGTTGCAGACGAAACATTTTTAATAGGATGCAAAAGTTACTCAGAAGATCTTTGACCTCCCCCCCCATATGCTCAGTGTGCCGCACTTGTTTCACCACATGTTACACACACTGACAGTCACAGAGACTACATTACACAGGACTCCCAGTGCAGTACAGAGCTGTAAGACTGGTACAATGCTACGGGACAAACATGCATGTGGATGGGAGAAAGCAGTGCCTGTGCTGGGATTTGCCATGATCTAGCATATTTAGAACGTTTTCAGAGCGTCCTCATGCTTTCAGGGTGCCGCACAGGCCTCAGGAGACGGACTTACAGGATTATTCATGTGACTGAATAGCTGCTCAGCCTGCTACATTGCAAATGGAGGGATGAGGAAGGGGTGGGGTCCAGGAAGAATAAATGTTAGGGCTTCGTTTGAGCCAGAGGAGACAACAGTAGGAACAGACATGATGTTGCATCTGTTTGATTGATAAATAGCAAAGTTTCAGTTCAACATGTGGTGTTAGAGGTGAATGCTAACAGAAAAACAGACAAAAGAAAAATTTGGATCATGGAGATGAAGGACCAAATGAGTCTCTGCTGTGTGCAGCTTATTACAGAACAGAACGGTTTGTAATATTTTCCTAATTCAAAGGCAGAATTAGTTTAATGAATGATAAAAGTCGGAGTAGAGTAGGGTTAGGGTCAGGTTTTTGGTTCACTGGGTTGGGGTTGTTGGACACAAATTGTGCAGAGCTTCTTGGGAAGCTCCTGAATGTCTCCAAATGTTTTTGAGGTTCCGAATTTTCATAATGAGTTGTTTATTTATTTTATTTTATTTATTTTTTTGTCTTGCTGTCAACAGTCACAGCCCAGTGAGAGACCGGCGTTAGGCTTGTCAGAGGCTAACACGTGTTCTTGTTGTCTTTTTTATTTCATCAGCCAAAATCTGTTTCTTTTTTTATTCCACAAAAACTCATTTACAGCTGATTTTTGTCAAGCAAAAAATGTATAAATAAAAAAAGATAAATATCACTAAAACTGTTTTATTTTTTTCAATATTTTACACTTACAACAAAGACAAACATTCTGATTTAGCACTTTGGTTTTTAATGAGGCTTTCCTTGAAGCACAAAGTTTTACTGATGAAAGAACACACGATCGTTCAAACATCTCTTTCCAACTTCATTGTGTAACACAGACAAACTCTGAAATAGAGGCGTACATTGAGACGGTAAGATATATTATGAATATTTACAATTGTAAGTATTTAATAGGAAAACTCAGGACAGACATCTCAAAGATACATGCAGTGAGTGGTTACATAATATGCATACTCGTCTGAACTTGTCTAACGTTCTTGTGAAACGTCATCAACACTGGCTCAATCCTTAGAACGTTTCATGGTAAGTTCACTCAGAGTTCCTGGATGTTCTCTTGCTCTGCGCATTGGAATGAGCATGCATCAGTGCATCTCTCTGTGGACTTAGGCTGGCAAGAAATCCCATAAAGCATTGAGTTGCAAACCCTTAAAGGTTGGTTTATGCTTGACGCATTCGCGAGGTCCGTGCGGCTAAATAGCATCATTTTAACAACCGCACGGCCCAAAGTTTCCGCACCGCGCACCTAGGAAATTTTCTAACCATGCAGACGGTCGGACGTGGAAAAACATGGCGGACTGGCAACAACTAGTATGGCAGAGGTTCGTAAATACAGACATTTGTATGATTCAGCTCTCAGAGATCAACGTGATCAACATGTTGTTAATAATTATTGGAGAGAAATAGCTCGCACTGTCGGATAAGACGAGGACGCTTTTAAAAAATGCTGGAATGCCATGTTGTAAACTTCTACTATGGTGTAGTGTTGGATGCATGCCGTAGAGCTCCATGCTGCCCCTACAGTATGGGAGAATATTGGCTCACCACAGAGACAAGCCGCATAAACCAGAAACGCTGCGAGTTGTGAAGTGCGTTCCATCCGTGAGCCGCATCACCAATGCATCAAGCATAAACCAAGCTTACTCCAAATGGCAGAGCATAACTATGGTGTTTTATATGAAAATGAGAAATAATTCAATCTAATGAAATACATTTAAAGTTGTCTGTTATTGTTATCTGGAACCTGTGAAATATTCTGCATGTGTTTGGTTTTCTTTTCACAACCTCAAAATACTAATTAGCTAATTCGCTATCAAAATAAAATGCATTTGTTTTGATGAAAAAGGAGCTGTTTTCTTCATTCAAGAACAGGACATGTTGGTATTTTATAAATTTTGATAAAGGTGGACCAAATATTATACAAATAAAATGAAGTCATAGTTATTTATGGGGCAAATTAGACTTTTTTAAAATTTTATTTTCAGATCACTTTTTTAACCTTAGCTTAAAGCAGCACTTGCTGCAATGAAGTAACGGTTCTGTTCTGCATGCTGTCCTCGTCCTCCCGTACTCCATAAAATTAAAACATTGCGTACTTTGGTGTTGATAAAAGGCCAGTGTTATTGCGCGATCTCATTGTTCTGTCAGAATGAACGTGATACAAACTGCTGCCACCTAGCAGCCAGAGTTTGAATTGCACCACACAAAAGAAATAGTCAATGTTTGTATGTAGATTAAAAATAATCCATTCACCTGCTTTTAAATATCAGTTCAGTATCGTTTCAGTGCATTGGTATTTTCTTACATCTGTACTCTGAGAGGTTCTTACGGGTTTTTTCATGTATGTCCTTTCTGAATAAAGCTTATTACCTGATGTGATCATCTTCCACTTATCATTCTGTTTCTTTAGTCATCAATAACAAATTTGTAGTTTCAAACAACTGTCAAACCTAAGAATTGATAGATGTAGTTTATAGTTATTTGTACATGTTAATTTCTTTTCTAAACAACAATAAATTGTCCTCAAATAGAGCAAATCTAAAGGAAACACTGTTCCTAGTTCTGTCATTAAACTAAATTTAAAATAAAACTGTGTTAAAACGTGATCTTACCTTCTGCAACTGCGTCTCCAACTTACTGCATTCCTCTTTTTTCTGCTCAATAGCAATCTCCAATGACTTAAGCTTTGAGTCCTTCTTGAGGCTGGAGGATGCCAGAGATGATGCGTGTTCTTTAAGATCGATGAGGCTGGACTGCAGGTAGAGAGTGACGGTTAGAGGAGGTTCAAACCCATCAGCTGGAACACAGTCATGTATGGAAGCTTAAACATCATCAACTTCACAGAGATACTGACCTCTTTATCTGTCAGTTCTATCTGCAGACTGTTGACCTTCTCCTTCAGATCTTTGTTCTCCTTTTTGTATGACTCCACCTCCTCCAGACGTTCTCGATCCTCCCTTTCTCTTTGATCCTTCAATCGCTCTATGATTCTCTCCTAGCACAAAAACAAGAAAAAAACAGCATTAAACATGTGAATATTTCATTTAAAGGGTCAGTAGAATAAAGTTTAATCACAATCCAAATCGGGACATTGAGCTTCTGTTCAGCACATGAAACTTTGCTGGGGCTCACAATGACCCAGGAGCCCCGATAAATAGCAAAACACAACCCCATTATAAAGGCTTAATGTGAAAAGACTGATTTGCCCCGCCCACTGGGCCTAGACAAGAATATCAAATGAGCTGCCTGCTGATTGGCCAAATTATGTTGATGGCTCTATGACTGCCTGAAGCTATAAAGTGCAGCAGCATGGATGAGCCAGAAACAAAGTGACTGTGGGCAAGGTGAATGTGGATCAAGCAGGCATTCATTCAAATTCTGGGTATTCCGGTACGTCTCGGAACATGAGTGGTGTTCCAGCATTTGTCTTTGTTGTTTTCCTTTAGTCCAACAAGGACCTTCGCAGTAGCTCCATTTGTCGTTGGTCTGTGGTTAGCATTAATGTGATCAACGATTAGATTTTGCCCAAGTTGAAGTGGGTTGGGACATGCAGGTTTAAGGGGGTGTGTCTACACTTAGGACATATTAATCAAGCATTTCTCAGAACAAACCGTGTGATTTGCAATATTACTAGTTGGGACAGGAAAGCAGGTCAGAGACAGCATTGACTTTAGTGTGGTACATTAGACAGCCCAAAGTGCTTATATTCAGCAGCAATGTGGTTTTGAATCCTACTGACCCTGGTTGCAGAGACGTAGATGAGAACGTAAGCCTTAGATATATGTAACATGCAAAAGATTTTATTCAGTTTGCTTATTTAGGAAATCATAATGAGGGCTGCAGTTAATATGAAATGATTATGTTAATTTGCATCACAGTGACACAGTCACTTACATGAAATCAAATACAAAGTAACACTAAACATGATTTTTCCTTAAAAAAAGATGGTGGGCCTTCTCATGTCACAGATACATCTTTTTAGACATATTTATTTCTATTATGTGGTTAAAGTACGTTTTTTGACAGTGCAGTCACTAATTCCTTCCACACATTCTGACTCATCCTCTCTCATCTCATGATGCTGTAGAGTTAAAACCCACCTTCTCCGACAGCGCCTCCTCCAGGGTGGCCAAGGCAGTGTCTGTGTTACTGGAATCGGTCTGCAGAGACTTTATCCTGTCCTTCAGGTTCCCCAGCTGCTTGTCTTTGTCCCTCAGCTGCTCCTGCAGGTTTTCAATCTAACACAGAAAAAAGAAAGAAAACAAGCAATTAAAGATGGTTTGGGGAGGAGCAGACTGGGATGAATCAGCCCTGGAGCATCTCTCTGTCCAGCTGCAAGGCAACTTTTTCACTCGTAGCGTTCAGCTTCATTTGAAACTGTATGACTTCCTCACAGAGCAAAACTCACGAGTCATGTTCTCACACTGTACGTGTGGTAGCAACACATTGGACCTGAACATGTGCGAAAAATGGTAGTTTTAACATGTCAGACCTTAGAGTATAAAACCCCAGAAAACCCGAAGTGTGTTGTGTTGTTATTGAAATGGCTGTTGTCCTTCAGGTTTGCCGTAGAAGGAGGGTTAGGGTTGGGTATTTAAGAGGGTTGGAGAAGGGAGACGAAACTAAGTAAACAATGTTTTGGAATTTGTTTTATTTTACATAAATGCAGAAAACCTGCTTTCTTGACAATCCTCGTCATTATGTGTGGAGTAAAATCTAAAACTTAAAGGAAACAATATGTGTTGATATTTGTGCAACCACACGATTGCTAATCAGGAGCTGGTCTTGAGGTGTTAATCGCTTCTTGTTACCTCCTTTATTCTACACGATACAAAACTCGCCCCGACCTCAAAGATTGTTGCACTAGAAAAGACGGTACAAAAACTGCACAGTGTATGCCCGGCCCGGTGTGTTCACTGTTTAGGAGCTCACAGTGGCCTGAAGCACACCCAGCGGCCCTAGAGCGCACCGGCCATTCTGGGATTCTCCAGAACTCATAGGTTGCCTCTCTGACCCCGGGTTCGGGTTATTGTCAAACCTGGGAAAATTAACCTGTAATGAATTTTTAAGTAGAGTTTTTTTAATAAACAAGTTGAAACATACAGTAGATTGTGAATAAGTCTTACAGAATAAGGTTGCTAATGGATAAAATGATAAATTCATTAATGCCGTGAACTAATTTACCAAAAATGATTTAAAGGCGCAAATTTAAAGCATTTTCTAGCA